AAATTTCAAGTGAGTTTCTGTCACTTGCAACAAAATAGGCCTGAGAAATACTGTTTTCTTCTAAACCAAGGGAAAAACAAAGACCCAAGGTGTGGGGCCCCTTCATTTCCACTGTCTACCAAGGAAAGGGCCCTGATATCAAGGCACAGGAGCTAATAAGCAAGAGCATCACACCTGTTCCAATCTTGATTCTAATACTAGCTTTATGAACTTCCACAAGCAAAACCCCTCTGAACCTCAGTATCATCATCTGTAAAAAAGGGATAATGATATTATTTCCCCCATTGTTGCTTTGCAGTCACTAAGCCAGGTCTAACTCTTTTCAACCCCATGGACTGCAGCATGCTGGGCTTCCCTGTCCATCATTATCTCTTGGAGTTTGCTCAGACTCATGTCCATTGAGTTGATGATGCCATCCAACCATCTCATCCACTGTTGCCCCCTTCTCCTCCTGCCTTCAATCTTTCCCAGCATCAGGGTCTTTTCCAGTGAGTCGGCTCTTCACATCAGGTAGCCAAAGTATTACTTCCAAAGAATATTCAGGGTTGATTTCCTTTAGGGTTGACTGTTTTGATCTCCTTGCAATCCAAGGGATTCTCAAGAATCTTCTCCAGCTATTTTGAAGTGAGTGCCTGACACGCAGTCCTCACTCTATAACTAGTAGCTGTTCCTATGACTTCCTTTCCCTAAGCTTTTCTGCTCTGTTCCACCAGAATCTCAGGTCAGAGTGGTACAATCTCAGATTTCTAGGGGCCCTGGAGCTTGCTGCAAAGCCTGTGTGTAGTTATTGGCTCCAGGGATTTGGGAAGCTCTGGCCTCTGCTGAGGAGGTTTGAGGAAAGAAAAGCTCAGCCCTGGTCTTGGGCCAAAGGACATGCTGCTCAGGAACACACAATCATGGGAATGGTGGCCCAGCCAGAGGGAGACTGGCTGTGTGGGAGTCCAACTCTCTGCCAAGGGCTCACAGAGCCAGTCATTCCCAGCAGGCAGAAAGACTTCCCACGTGTGCAGAAGAATCATCATTTATTCATCTCATCATTCAGCAAAAAAAAGTGTCCCAGGCACTGGGCAGGGTTTTTTCAGGGCTTGAGGTCAGTTAACCAACACTAGTGTAAAAACCAGGCTGAGTCAAAGAATTGATGCTTTTGAATTGTGGTGTGGGACTCTTGAGAGTCCCTTGAACAGCAAGGAGATCAAACCAGTCAATTCTAAAGGAAATCAACCCTGAACATTCATTGGAAGGACTGATGCTGTAGCTGAAGCTCCAATACTTTGGCCAGCTGAAGGCAAAGAACTGACTCACTGGTGAAGACCCTGATGCTGGGAAAGATGGAGGGCAGGAGGAGAAGCGGGCAACAGAGGATGAGATGGTTGGAATGCATCCCCAAACTCAACAGACTTGAGCCTGAGCAAACTCCAGGAGATAGTGAAGGACAGGGAAGCCTAGTGTGCTGCACTCCATGGGGTTGCAAAGAGTCAGACAAGACTTAGTGAGAAAGGCTTTGTCCTCAAATAGTTAAACGTAAAACACAGGTGGCACTAATGGTAAAGAATCCGAGTGCCAATGCAGGAGATGCAAGAGACATGGGTTTGATCCCTAGGTCAGGAAGATCCCCGGAGAAGGAAAAGGCAACCCACTCCAGTATTCTTGCCTGAAAAATCCCATGGACAGAGGAGCCTGTTGGGCTACAGTCCATGGAGTTATAAAGAGTTGGATATGACTGAGTGACTAAGCATGCAAGAGCAAACACAGCTGCAGCATGTGGAGCTTAAGCGATGAGCTTCATACAGCTGGTCTCTCAGCTGCGTCCCCCTTCCCCGCCTTTGTTCCCCAGGGTGACCTCTCTTCTGGATAGTGGTGGTCTGGTGGTCCCTGAGTCCTCACTTGGTTGTGAGGCGGCCTCCTCGCTGGCCCCCTATTCCAAGCATCCCAGCTACAACCCTCCCTCCCTACTATTGAAATCACAACCACCCCAAAGCTCCAGTCAAGTCCTTCCCTGCTAAAAAATCTTCAATAACTCCTCATCTCCTGGGGGGCAAAATCCAGGTGCCTCAGCCTGCCATTTAAGACTTTTTTTTTTTGCATTTAAGACTCTTAAAGGCCTTCCCGGGTGGCAAAATGGATGAGAATCTGCCTGCCAATGCATGGGACACAGGTTCGATCCCCTAGCCTGGGAATGTTCCGCATGCGGCAGGGAAACTAATCCTGTGCATCGCATCTACTGAGCCTGTGTGCCGCAACTACTGGGCCCGCATGCTGCAACTGCTGAAACCCATGTGCCTAGAGCCCATGCTCTGCAACAGAGAAGCCACCTCAATGAGAAGCTGTGCACTGCAACAAGAGAGACGCTCCCACTCTCCGACAGAGAAAGCCTGCTTGTAGCGATTAGGACCCAGCACAACCAACAGACAAATAAATAAAAATTTTAAAAGATATGGCCCCACCACACTTGCAGTTTATCCCCTAATCCATCCTTTCCTTCAAATAGCTTACACACCCACTGAACTGAATTATGCCCTATTACGTCACACAGCCCAGCACTTTCTCACCTTCACACCGTTGCCCAGGCATTGCTTCTTCCCACTTATCTCTGTGTGTCCAATTTTTATCCTGCCCTGAGGCTCCAATTCAAACACCACCTCCTTCAGGAGGCATTCTCACTGTCCTTATTTTTAACCCTCTCTCCCTAAATGGGCACCCCAGGCACTTTCCTTTGAGCCAGTTACACTTGAACCTGGCTGCCTGGGGAGGTCGAATTGCAGGGTGTTGTATGTTTGCCTTGAAAAGTGTGAGAAGCCACCAACTGCCATTTCTCTGTTCGGTGGACATGACAAGTCACCCTGGAGCAGGACTTCACTGCTCCTCCCTGAAACCCTGAGTGGCCCCTACTTGGAGATGCAGATGTGAAGGGAGTCGTCCCTCCCAGCCTCAGCCCTAGGAGGATGGTGTTAGGGGACCTTTGGAGGGGCTGCCAGAGGCTGCCCCTCTGATCATCTCCCTGCACAGAAGTGATCTCAGAAAAACATGATGGACAAATTTGTCCTGAGAGGACGGGAACCTGGTCCCTCTTGCTTTCCTCCCTAAGGCTGACGTTACTAGAACCCTTGGATGGAGTGGACGTTTCCCAGAGAGCTGCTGGGGCCAACAGACACTGAAGCTCCCAGAGGACCTCACACTGAGTCAGGGCTGGGGGTGGCTGGAGGTGTCTGGACTCACGAACTGGCTTGACACCAGCTCAGAAGGCGATGCCAAGTTGATGACTTGTGCTAGAAGCTTCTGAGACCCAACACCCCCAGCAGGATGGGGAGGCTCTGGGAACAACGGCTGAGTGATGGCAAAAAGCAAAAATCTCTGGAACTGATCTTTCATGGTAGCCCCACGGTGACAGTGGTCCAGGACATGCTAGAGTGGGCGGCACCAATTCCCATCTGTGCTGCTATGGCAACAGGGCAGAAACTGGGGCCAGCTGGTGGGGAAGCAGGGCCCAGGGCTCGCTCTCTCTCTCTCCACCTGGCATTCGGAAGTGAAACGCAAGCCTGAAGCAGCCTCAGGGTCCTGAGACAATTTGGGTGTGAGGCAGGTAGAGAAGCTACACTTGAGATCTTACTAGAGACACATGGGTGCCTGAGCAGTCAATTGGACAAAGAAGAAATATAGCCACAGTTCCACCCGGAAACAGTGATGCAGTCGCACCATCAAATGCTCAGCACAGGCTTCCCTGTTTTATTTTTTTTATTTTTTTGGCTTCCCTGTTTTAAATTAGGACTGGGAACATCCTGGTGGTCCAGTGGATAAGAACCCGCCTGCCAATGCAGGGAACATGGGTTTGATCCCTGGTTTGGGAAAATTCCACATGCCATGGAGCAACTAAGTTGGTGTGCCACAGCTACTGAGCCTGAGCTCTAGAGCCTGGGAACCACAACTACCGAGCCTACATGCTGCAGCTACTGAAGCCCTCACACATCAGACAAGTCCCAGCATGACCAAAAATAAATAAATAAAAATTAGGGTTGGGGCTCTACAATTACACAATAGTCTTTGAGTCTTTATCTCAATTTCCTCTGTAATATTTTGCACTGCAGTAAGTCAGAAAAACAAATATCACATATTAATGCATATATGTGGAATCTAGCAAAATGGTACAGATGAAACTATTTACAAGGTAGAAAGAGAGATGGAGACATAGAGAACAAACAAATACACAGATACCAAGGAGGTAAAGGAGGGGTGAGATGACTGGGGAGACTGGGATTGCCACGTATACACTACTACGGATGAAATAGATAACTAATGAGAACATACTGTATAGCACAGGGAACTCTACTTAGCACTCTGTTGTGACCTAAATGGGAAGGAAATACACAAAAGAGGGGATATATGTATACATATAGCTGATTCACTTTGCTATACAGTGGAAACTAACATAATACTGTAAAGCAACTAGACTCTAGTAAAAAATTTTTAAAAACATATTTTGCACTGTGGAAGACACATACACATTTGCTGAAAGGAGGGAGGCAAGGACTGTAGTTCTAGGAGAATCCAGAGGAAAGACTTGGAGCCTGCAACTTATCAGGGCAGGCTTCCTGGCAGAGGTGGCTTGGGAGGGGCCTGGAAGGAGGAGCAGGCGAGAGGATCATATGTCCCTGTCGCATGTCAGGGGCTAAGGTCACAGCAGATGCCATCCACATGTCCCCAACTGCTTTTCTCATCCTCAACCTCCCAACAATTCTGCTATTGGGGGATTCATTTTTTAGGAAAATAATACAGATATATCTTCCTTTTGCAAGTTTTCCAAAGTATACTGAAAACATACCCCCAGGTAAGCACATTGCCAGGCCCCTCCCAGGACCCCAAGGTTTAAGCCTCATTAGCTTCCAGTAGCTGGGCTCCACCAGCAGGAGCCCTCCCCCTCCACTGGGCCAGGCTTGGACGCCCCATTAGCTGGAGGCACCCGGCAGAGGCTGCTAAATGCTTTGTGAGCCAAGAGTCAAGCTGACCTGAAAGGCAAAGACATCCTTGACCAGAGCCTCCCCAAACACGAAGCTGGAGCCGGACTCAGTGTAGCTCAGGAAGACCTGAAAGGAGAAAACAAAAAAATCCAAACCCGGGAGTGAGGCCAAGAAGGGCAGAAGGAGGAAGCAGCAGCAAGGGAACCAGGTTGGGGTGACCTGGAGGAGCTTTGCCTGCCCCCCATGCCTTCCCAGCAGCCCAGGAGAAGAGAAGGTCTTGGAGGCTGCAAGATGAGCCCCCAGGCCGTGGCCTTAGAGCGGGGGCAACACGTGTGTCAGTAAAGCCACACTTGCTCCTTCTGAGTACATCTTCCAGAAGAGACAATTGTAAAGAAATACTCTGAGAAAAAAAAAAAAAAGAAATACTCTGAGATGAGAGTTGTTGGGACAAGAACAATGAAGAAGAGACAGAGGAGGAAGCAAACAGTGAACTGCCTGGAGAAGGCGGTCAAAGGTGGTGCCCCCGTGCCTCCCTGCCGAGGAAACAGCCCCAGCCTGTCCCACCCCGGGTTCCTGGCCTTGGTGTTGCAATCTGGCCACCCTTCTATAAGAGCCCTGTATTTACTTAGGACCAGAACATGCACTGTGACTGCAGGCCAAGTCACTTCTATTGCCTCAATGCTCCCGTTTATAAAATGAGGGGTGTGCCCAAAGCAGCAATCTTCCCAGGTGGCGCTGGTGGTAAAGAACCCACCTGCCAATGCAGGAGACAGAGAGATGTCAGTTCTATCTCAGGTAGGGAAGATCCCCTGGAGGAGGGCATGGAAACCCACTCCAGTATTCTTGCCTGGAGAATCCCCATGGACAGAGGAGCCTGGAGGGCTACAGTCCGCTGGTTGCAAAGAGTTGGACGTGACTGAGTAACTGAGCACGCACGCCCAGAGCAGCGTCTTTTTGCATCACAACACCCATGCAGGTATCCTTGGTGTGGCCAGAGGGCGGGCCTGGGCAGAGCCTGGACATGTGGGTTCTCCCTGCCCCCGCCCCCTGGAAGCCCTCCCTGTAGAGAGTGCATGGAAATTCGATATAGTGAGAGATAGTATCAACCTTGTGTCCTCCATAACTTATATTTTAAGAAGTAAATCATGACTGTCCAATGATGTGAAGGAACTTAATGATACTCAAAAATGATTAAATTAAAAAAACAAGGTTAAAATGATAAATTTTGTGTTATGTGGTTTCATCACAATAAAGGAAAATTTAAAAGTGTAACTTCAACAAACTGAATATTATTTTTAAACACACATACACTCCAATACTTTGGCCACCTGATGCAAAGAGCTGACTTGTTGGAAAAGACCCTGATGCTGGGAAAGATTGAGGGAAGGAAGAGAAGGGGGCGACAGAGGATAAGATGGTTGGAAGGCATCATGGACTCAGTGGATGAGTTTGAGCAAACTCTGGGAGATAGTGAAGGACAGGGAAGTCTGACGTTCTGCAGTCCATGGGGTTGCAAAGAGTAGAACATAACTGAGTGACTGAATAACAACAGCACATATATAAACTAAATCACTTTCCATTTTTAAAGCACTTTTAACTATTATAAGTTCCTTTCCTGATGAGGACCGAGGGCAACAAGCCTTGGGCCTGGGTGTCCTAGGAACCTTCCTGTTGTGAGATTCTCTTCCACATCAGGCCACCCTCTGAAAGGACTGCTTGTTTGGGCAGGTGGGACCAGGCCTGAGGGAAGCAGCTGCTGTGCTGCCCAGCCTCCCACTGCCCAGGGGTCAGGGGCCCCACACACACCCACCATCCTGGTCACAGTCCCTCTGTATGGCCACCTCCCTCCAGCGCAGAGGCTTCTCCTCCATCCCCTGGCAACCCAAGACGCCCGGGCAGCTACACCCCATGTACACACCTGGATCTGGTCGCCCAGCCACTGAAATGCAATAAACCCTGGTTCTGTTCTGATGACGATGAGTCCGAGTACAAATTGCAGTCCAAGACCCCAGAACACAGCCCGCCAGGATACCTGCCACCCGAGAGAAAGGTCCAGGTGAGCTCGGCACCTGGGGAGGTCCACAGGGAGGAGGTGGGTGAGGGCAGAGGGCACAGCACTGCTGAGGGGCTCTGGGAGCTTCGGTCAGCCTGTAGGATGAGGGCTGGACCCAGAGGAGCTGTGGGCCTGTTGCCGATGGTTACATCCCCCATGGAGTGCAGAACAGGCCACAAGGCAGCAGTGGGCCTGGGCAGTGGGCAGGGGGCGGGGTCAGATCTAACCAAGGACCAGCCGGGAGCTACGGCACTTGGTCCTGGGGCATCGCTGGGTGGGTGGAACCCTGGCCTCAGAGCCTGGCCTCAGCGTAACCTTTGTCTGTCTGGACCTTCCCCATCTCTCCGTCATAGTCAGGGCTCTGACCCCACTCTGACCCCACTCCCTCCCAGCACTTCCTCCTCCCCAGCAGAAGGGAGCTGGACACCTAACGGCTGGATAACCTCTTGGCATTGAGTGACTTCTTAGCAGTGACCCCTTTGCCCATGTGTGGCTCTGGAGTCTGGGAGGAGGTGTTAACCACCCTGTGAAACAGGGAGGGGACCTGACACTGGGCAGAGAAGAGGCTGAAGCCCCCTCTTGGCCTGAAAGCTAAGCACTCACTGCGCGGTGATGCTTTGAGAAGGCAAAGAGGAGGCCAACGAACACGCAGATTCCGCCAAAGGACACCAGCTGCTCAGGCCGCCGAGAGGTGTCCAGGGCCAGCCATAAGACCAGGCCCAGGAAAGCAGCAAGGGCTAGACCCCTGCAGGGGAGGGGCAGAGGGTCATTACTGTCAGTATCTCCCCACCCCCACACAACAGCACCCAGGGCCCCAGGAAAGGGTACTCAGGGCTGGTGGGAGGAGAAGGGGGAGAGTGCTGTGTGGCCTCGGACAGACCACCTAGCCTCTCTGAGTCTAGTTTCCTCATCAGGTAAATGAAGCCAAAGACCCTTCCCACCCCCAATTCTCAAGATTGCTGAGAGAACTAAATCAGAGGATGTGGGTACTCAGCTTAGCATGGTGCCAAGCACACGGCAGGAATTCTCATAGCTGCAGTGATGCTCCGCTCAGCCAGCCTCTGGCCTTGCCAGGGTAAGGTGGGGTCTGTGTGGGCTGGAACTCAGCGCCACGGGCCATGGGCTCAGCTCCCCTAAAGCCCAGAAGTGGTGGTGTCAATCAGGGATGCAGAGCTGAGTACCTGAGACCAATGACCGAAAGTGACTTTTACAGCCATGTCTCCTTCCCTGGGGCTGGGATCTGCTTGTCCAGGAGTATGTCTGTCTTCCCATATTAGTAGCTCAGTCATGTCCAACTCTTTGCAATCCTATGAACTATAGCCCGCCAGGCTCCTCTGTCCATGGGACTCTCCAGGCAAGAATATTGGACCGGGTACCTATTCCCTTCTCCAGGGAATCTTCCCAACTCAGCGATAAAACCTGGGTCTCCCACATTACAGGTGGATTCTTTACCGTCTGAGCTACCAGGGAAGCCCTGAATGTCCAGGAGGCAGCCTAACAATTTAAGAGCCCAGGTTCAGGGTCTAACCCTGACCCAGTCTTCAACTCCCTGGGTACTACTAGCCACAGCTGAAGTTCACTGAACTCCTACTATGTGCCAGGAACCATGCTGAGTGCTGAGAGACCTATAGTAATTGTCCTCGTCCTAGAGATGTAAAAATTAATTTGCCCGTGGCCACCTGTCTAGAAAGCAGCAAAGCTGAGATTCAACCCAGGCATTCTAGCAGCAAGTTTGTTCTCTTAACTAGTTCTATGCATAGTCACCAGCTGGTAAGAGAAGGACCCAGGAGCTAAACTCAGGCAAGCTAACCCCAGAGTTCACTGTTTATTTCTAGTGTGTTTTCCAAACTCCTATTATGCCAGTTCCACTGGCATAATTTCTGCCTTGTCTCTGAGACACCTGTATGCCTCTTTACTTACTGTTATCCTTGAGGTTAACTGGTGTTATAAAAACTTAAATGCATGTTTGGAGGTTTATTTTGGGGTGGAGAAGGTTTTTTCTTTTATTCTTACAGCTGTAGGTTTAATTAATTTTTCTAATTTTTTAACTGTATTTTTCTAATTTTTAAACATTTTTTAAATAAACGTTTTATTTTATATAGGAATATAGCCGGTTAACAATGTTATGATAATTTCAGGTACATAGCAGAGTGACTCAGCAATATATATATACATATACGTATACATGCATCCATTCTCCCCCAAACTCTCCTCCCACCCAGGCTGACACATAACATTGAGCAGAATTCTCTGTGCTATACAGTTGTTCTTTGTTGGTTACCCATTTTAAATATAGCAATGTGTATATGTCCATCCCAAACTCCCTAACTATCTTTCCCCCTGGCAATCATAAGTTCATTCTCTAAGTCTGAAGGCCACAAAGATTTTTCTGCTGTTTTCTTATAGTAGTTATATAGTTTCAGGCTTTACATTTAGGTTTATCATCTATTTTCAGTTAATTTTTTAATATAATGTGAGACATGGATCAAGTTCACTTGCTTCTCTCCTCCTTCCTCTTCCTCCTCCTTCTCTGCTTTCTTCTACCTATGGATATCCCATTGTTCTGGCAGAATTTGTTAAGCTGATTATTACTTCTTCATTGAATTGCCTCAGCACTCTTGTCAAAAAAATCAACTGGTTTTATATATGTAGGTCTATTTCTGTGCTCTGTTCTGTTCATTGACCTATTTGTCTGTCTTGATGGCAAAAACACATTGTCTTAATTACTGTACCTTTATAATAAATGGAAAATTCTGAAAGAGATGGAAATACCAGACCACCTGATCTGCCTCTTGAGAAACCTGTATGCAGGTCAGGAAGCAACAGTTAGAACTGGACATGGAACAACAGACTGGTTCCAAATAGGGAAAGGAGTACGTCAAGGCTGTATATTGTCACCCTGCTAATTTAACTTATATGCAGAGTACATCATGAGAAACGCTGGGCTGGAGGAAGCACAAGCTGGAATCAAGATTACCGGGAGAAATATCAATAACCTCAGATATGCAGATGACACCCTTATGGCAGAAAGTGAAGAGGAACTAAAGAGCCTCTTGTTGAAAGTGAAAGAGGAGAGTGAAAAAGTTGGCTTAAAGCTTAACATTCAGAAAACTAAGATCATGGCATCTGGTCCCATCACTTCATGGCAAACAGATGGGGAGACAGTGGAAACAGTGTTGGACTTTATTTTTAGGGGCTCCAAAATCACTGCAGATGGTGACTGCAGCCATGAAATTAAAAGATGCTTACTTCTTGGAAGGAAAGTTATGACCAACCTAGATAGCATATTAAAAAGCAGAGACATTACTTTGCCAACAAAGGTCCGTCTGGTCAAGGCTATGGTTTTTCCAGTGGTCATGTATGGATATGAGAGTTGGACTGTGAAGAAAGCTGAGCGCTGAAAAATTGATGCTTTTGAACTGTGGTGTTGGAGAAGACTCTTGAGAGTCCCTTGGACTGCAAGGAGATCCAACCAGTCCATCCTAAAGGAGATCAGTCCTGGGTATTCATTGGAAGGACTGATGCTGAAGCTGAAACTCCAGTACTTTTGCCCACCTCATATGAAGAGTTGACTCATTGGAAAAGACCCTGATGCTGGGAGGGATCGAGGGCAAGAGGAAAAGGGGACGACAGAGGATGAGATGGTTGGATGGCATCACCAACTCGATGAGCATGGGTTTGAGTAAACTCCAGGAGTTGGTGAAGGACAGGGAGGCCTAGCGTGCTGCGATTCATGGGGTCGCAAAGAGTCGGACTGAACTGAACTGAACTGAGTGACTGAACTGAACTGATAATAAGTCTTAAGGACAGTTAGTGAAATGCATCAGCGTTGTTCATCTTTTTCAAAATTGTCTAGGCTATTCTAGGCTCTTGGGATTTGCATATGAATTCTAGAATCATCTTATTATTTCTACCCCAAAAGTCTGCTGGAATTTTGATTGAGATACTATAAGAATCTATAGATTAACTTGAGAAGAATTGATATATTAATAATATTGATTCACTCAATCCATGAACTTGATATGTTGCTCCATTTATTTAAGTCTTTTTATTATATATTTCTCTCAGCAATGTTTCCTAGTTCTCCATGTACAGGTTTGGAGGTCTTTTGTCAGATTTATCCTTAAGTATTTCATATATTTTATGCTATTCTAAATGACATGATTTTAATTTATGATTGTTTGTAGTTAGTATATGGAAATACTATTATTGTATTTTGCATGTTAAGCTTGTACCCTTCAACCTTGCTAAACTCACTTAGTAGTTATACTATCTTTTTGTAGATACCATAGAATTTTCAAGCTTCCCAGGTGGTGCTAGTGGTAAAGAACCTGCCTGCCAATACCAGAAAAGAGATGAGGGTTCGATCCCTGGATCTCAAAGATCCCCTGGAGGAGGGCATGGCAACCCACTCCAGGATTCTTGTCTAGAAAATCTCATGGACAGAGGAGCCTGGTGGGCTACAGTCCATGGGCTCGCAAAGAGTGAGACACGACTGAAGTGACTTAGCACACAAGTACATGGGATTTGTTTTGTAGACAATCCTGTCTGTGAAAAAGGACTGCTTTACTTCCTTTCTAATCTCCATGCCTTTTATTTCTTTTTCTTACCCAATTGCACAAGCTAGAACCTCCAGTACAATGTTGAAAAAAATTTAGTGAGAATAGGGGTTTCCCTGGTGGTCCAGTGGCTAAGACTTCATGCTCCCACTGCAGGGGCCCAGGGTTCAATCCCTGGTTGGGGAACTAAATCTCACAAGCTGCAACTAAAGATTCAATGTGCCGAAACTAAGACCCAGCACAGCCAAACTAAAAAAAAAAGGTGGTGAGAGCAAACATTCCTGTATTGTTCTTGATCTCAATGGATCAGCGCTGTCTTTCATAATTAAGTATGAGGTTAACCATAGATCTTTGATAGATGGTCTTTATCTGATTGAGGAAGTTCCCTCATATTCCTAGTTGGCTCAGAATTTTTTTTCAGAAATGGATATTGAATTTTGTCAAACGCTTTCTCTTATCTATAGGCATCATCATATTGTTTTTCTTCTTATAGTCTGTTAATACGATGACATTGATTTTTTTAATGTAAACCCAACTTTGGAGTCCTGGGATAAACCCTTCTTGTTAATGACATATTATCCCTTTGTGTATTATTGTATTTGGTTTTCTAAAATTTTTAAAATAATTTTTACATCTTTGTTCATGAGGGTTATTGGTCTGTACCTTTAATGTGAGTATTGGTATGGGAAAGGGTTAGATCTACCATCTTGCTATTTGTTTTCTATTTGTCCCATCTTTGTTCTTTGTTTCTCTTTTCCTGTTGCTCTACCTTCTTTCAGATTGTTTAAAAATTATTCTTTATCTCTTTTTTTTACTTGTTAGCTATAATTCTTTGTTGTTATTTTAGTGATAGCTTTAGCATTTATAGTATACATCTTTATCACAATCTACTTTGAAGTGATATTATATCACTTAAAATGCAGTATAAAAATCTTACAGCAGTCTAATTTCATTTCTTTTCTCCTAGCCTTTGTGCTACAGTTGTTTACTTCTACATATAATATAAACTCCACCATACATTGTTCTATACTTGCTTTATAAGTTGATTTTAGAGAGATTTAAATAATAAGAAAAATAAGTCATTATATCCACCCACATAGTTACCCTTCCAACACTCTTGATTCCCTCATCTAGATCTAACTTCTCATCTGGCATCATTTTCCTTCAGTTTGAAGACTGTCCTTTAACATTTCTTATAGTGCATCTCTGGTTTTTAATGTCTGATTCTTTCAGTTTTGTATATCTGCAAAAGTCCTATTTCTCCCTTCTTGAAGGATATTTCACTGGTGAAGAATTCTAGATTGACACACTTTTGTTTTCATTTCTGTTTTTTACAGTTTCACTGTTTCCTCATTTGTATTGTTTTTGAGAAGAAATCTGCCATCATCCATATCTTGTTCCTCTGAACATATGTTTTTTTTTTTTCTCTAGCTGTTTTTAAGATTTTTCTCTTTATTGATGTTTTTAAGCAGTTTGATTATGATGTGCTTTGGTGTGGTTTTCTTCGTGTTTCTTGTGCTGTAGGTTTGTAGAATTTCTTGGTGCTTGGGTTTATAATTTTCATCAAATTTGGAATTTCTTATCCACTGTACCACCAGGGAAGTCTGGGTATATGTTTCAATTTCTCTCAGATATAACCTAGAAGTAGAATTGCTGGTTATGGCAACTCTATAGATAATATTTTGAGGAACTGACTAATTGTTTTCTGTTACAGTTACATCATATCATATTTCTATCAGGAGTATATGAGGGTTTCCAATTTTTCCACATCTTTGCCATCACTTGCTATAATCTGTCTTATTTCATTATATCCATCCTAATAGATGGGAAATGTTATCTTGCGATTGGTGGGGTTTTTTTGGCTATGCTGTATGGCTTGTAGGATCTTAGTTCCCTGACCAGAGATTGAGCTCATGGCCATTACAAGAAAAGCAGCAAATCCTAACCACCAGAAACTCCCTTATCTACATGTATTTTTTTTTTTAAAGGAAACTTGATAACAATACCTCAAGTGGAAAACCAGTATCAGTGATTTGTCATAAACAGAAGATGACTATAAAAATAAATCCTCTTATAAATCTATTTAATAAACAGAAGGCAAATATAAAAACAAATCTATTTATAAAGAAAATGAAAAATTTGTTTATAGACTGACTTAAAGCATTTTGCTGTGGTATGTAGATCTTACTTTGGGAAACACCCTTGTGCCTTGCACCTGCCTGGCTTAGTCACTGGGTATCTTTGGGCACCAGTTTCTTCATCAACAAAAAGAGTACCATTTTAAGCCATAGATCTTTTAAGCCATAGAAACATTTTTTTCCCCCCAGCTAAAATATTTTCTGCAAGCTTGTTTATAAAACAGAGTCGCCTGGTGGAAATGGAAATTGGGAGGCAGGGTGTCTGATGTTCCCTTCTCCAATCTCCCTCACCTGCCCTCTAGCTTCCAGTTTCCAGAGCTCTAAGGAACCCAGTTTAAAAACCAGGGGATCCTGGTGAGACAGAGTGGGACCCTATGGTCTTTGCTCCCCGACCCCCAGGTCCTTTGCCTGCCTTTTGTCTGTGTAAAACTTTAGTCAAAGAATAAATTTAACCAGAGAAATGAGAGATGCAGAAACAAAGGAAAGCAGTCAAAGGAGACCAAATAACAATATGTAGGAAAAAAACCAATAATGCTGTCATTAAGCAGAGTCAAGGACTTTAGTTCCCTCTCAAGGGCCATAGATAGTATTCTGAGCCCTCACCTATGAACTGTGAGTGTCTTACAGACACTGAAACTGCCCCCACCAGGTGGAAGAAGTAACTCCATGACGACAGACTACCCGTGACACAAGCTGCCACAGTTCCGAGAACCGGCCTCAAAGAAATGGAAGCAAACTGACCCTGGAACTGAAGATTAACTATACCTAAAACAATCAAGGTGATGTTGGTCAGACCACCAATGACCAATTTGAAGATGACTGTCCGAGATGACTGTGCTGTTTCTGCATGTAGGCCCCTCCCTTGGCCTATAAAAGCTCTCACTCACTGCTTGTCATGGGGGGAAGTCAGCCTTTGGACAGATGTCCCCGAACAACTTGTCTTGCCCTCAAGTTGCTGGCATCTGAAATAAAGCAAACTTTCCTTTCCACCAACCTGGCCTGTTTACTGGCTTTGGGGCAGCAAGCAGCCAGACCCCACAGCTTTCGGTAACCCAAGGGCTTCCCCTGGTGGTCCAGTGACTAAAGCTCCTTTCTCCCAATGCAGGGGGCCCAGGTTCAATTCCTGATCAAGGAACCAGATACCACATGTCATAACTAAGACCTGGCACAGCCTAAATAAATAAATAAATATTTAAAACAAAACAAAGAACAAAAGGATCTCAAACTGTTGCTCAGGAAAGTGGATGGCTACATGAGAGTCCCTTGTAGCTAACTAAAAATATTAACTAATGGGAAAAGAATTTGAAAAAGAATAGATACATGTTGAAGTGGTAGAGAATTTGCCTGCAATATAGGAAACCTCGGTTCGATCCCTAGGTTGGGAAGATCTCCTGGAGAAGGAAATGGCAACCCACTCCAGTACTCTTGCCTGGAGAATCCCATGGACAGAGGAGCCTGGCAGGCTACAGTCCATGGAGTTGCCAAGAGTCAGACACCACCGAGTGACTACCATTTTCACTTTCACTTAGGTAAAACTGAATCACTCTGCTGTTCACTGGAAACTATCACAACATTGTTAATCAACTATACTCCAATATAATATAAAAAATTGAAAAAATATATTGACTCCTGGACCCCAATTCAGATTGCTGAATCAGACTACAGGGGTGGTCCCCAGCAGCTGGACGTCTCACTCAGGCTCTGGGTGTTCTGATCATTGCATTGATATGGGCCTCCCAGCTTGAATGGGCTGGGATCTCTGAATTTAGGAAACTGTTTATTCCTGTCCTCAGGTGTGAGAGCCACCTACTGTAACTGGAGCAGAGAATCAGATGGGAAGTGGCAAAATACCACAAAGATGCCACAAAGCTGCCTCTGAAGCTACCCAGCAAGACCTGCCCAGGGCTCCCAAGAGGCAAGCAAGGGAGTGGGCTCCCCATGACCCAGGAGCCTCAGGTGGGACAAGGACCAAAGTCCTCCTCACCCAGCCCTGGCCATGCCACAGGAGCTGACTCAGAGGCCCTCTGCCCATGTGCCTGCCCACTCCCATACCCCCTGGGGACACACTTACCTCTTAAACCAGAGTTTCAGGCAGGGATGCCCTAGAGGTTTGACACACCTCAGCAGTTTTGGCCCCAGCAGCCGCTTGAGCAGGCTGTGGGCCAGGAAGACGAGGACCACACAGGTGAGGACGAACAGTGCCAGGGCCCTCTGGAAATTCAGGATGCAGGCTGCCAGCAGGAAGGCAGTATATGCTGGGAGTAGGTGGAGGATGAAACAGAGAAGGGATTATGGGTAACAACAGTGGCCTCTTTGGGACCCTGCTGCCCTACCCGCAGCTCCACCTAATCCAGCCAGAGCTCTCAGAACCTTAGTTTCTTCATCTGGTAATGAGCACAGTTGTCTCGGCTTAGAATGTGTGTGAAAGGGCTTTGCAGACTCTAAAGTGCTGACCAAATGTGAGGGAGGTGTTTAAGGAGGAGGTAAGACAGCATGAGGCTTCCCAGCTGGCTCTGTGGTAAAGAATTCACCTGCCAGTGCAGGAGACGCAGGAGACTCGGGTTTGATCCCTGGGTCAGGAAGATCCCCTGGAGTAGGAAATGGCAACCCACTCCAGTATTCTTGCTGGGATAATCACAGCAAGAGGAGCCTGGCAGGCTACAGTCTGTAGGGTCATAAAGAGTTGGACACGAGTGAGTGATAGCATGTGCGCATACACACACAAAAGACAGCATGAATCTCTGAGCATCAGTGGAATGCCTGCCATATTCTAGAGCCTTGGTAGGTTCCTAGGTGGACAGAGACAGATAAGTCAGCTACTCCAGAAAACCATTGACTTCTGTGTGCCAGGATCCCGTTCTGAATATTAATCAATGATCATTTTTCTTCCTGGAATTTCCTTTTCCCCCTTTGCCCTTCTCCCCATTTGAGCAGCTAGGCCCATCTGTGCTCTACTTCAAGAAAGGAATGTGATAGTGGAGAGCAGAGGAGAAATATCTCCCCCTGGCTTATGAATTTCAAGAGCCAGGACCCTTGAGGGGAAAGAGGTGGGATGGAATTGGGAGATTGGGGTTGACGCATATGCAGTACTGATAACGTGTATAAAATAGACAACCGGAGGGAACATACTGTACAGCACAGAGAACTCTACTCAACTCACTGGTGACCTGGATGGAGGGAAATCCAGAAGGGAGGGAAGGTAGGTACCTGAATGGGTGACTCATTTTGCCATGCAGTAGAAGCACAGCAGGGCTTGCCCAGTGGCTCAGCAGTAAGTAATCTGCTTGCAATGCGGGAGCTATAGGAGATGTGGGTTTGATCCCTAGGTCAAAGGGCATGGCAACGCACTCCAGTATTCTTGCCTGGAGAATCCCATGGGCAGAGGAGCTTGGCAGGCTACAGTCCGTAGCATCACAAAGAGTCGAACACAACTGAAGCGACATAGCGCTCATGCACAAGAAACATAGCAACACTGTGAAGCAGCTACATTGTAATAAAATTTAATTAATAAAAATAAAATAAAGACCTAGTGATTTAAAAAAAAAAAAGAATCAGGGCCCTTGAAGAATGGGAAAGACCTATAGCCTTCCCAGCAGATAAAAAGTTTTGAGGGTCATCCCTACATAGTCTGCTGCCAGACTAGTTAGAGGATGCCGCTGGGTCCCAGAGAAACGGGCTCTGAGCCTGGGGAGGTGGCAATGGCCTGGGTGTGTTTGTGGCACTTTGAGTAAAAGAGCCCTGTCCCAGGGAGGCAGCAACATTTCACAGAGAGGAATGCCATGGGGGTGTGGATGAGAAGAGCCAGAGAAGGTTTCTGAGGTTGTGCACACCTCAGCAGGCATGAAGCAGGCACAGAAGTGATCTCTATGAGAGGCTCAGAGAGGAAGGCCCACTTCCTGGGAGGGTCTCCATGGCTACCTGCAGCGGCAGAGAACGGAGGACCAGTTGGGGAAATGGACAGGCTAGCAGATACTTGAAAACTGATAGTGTATAAGCACCCCCAGATGGCCCAGTGGTAAAAAATCTGCCTGCCAGTGCAGGAGATGCAGGAGATATGGGTTCGATCCCTGGGTCAGGAAGATCCCCTGGAGGAGGAAATGGCAACCCACTCCAGTATTCTTGCCTGGAGAATCCCATGGACAGAGGAGCTCGGCAGGCTGCAGTCCATGGAGTTGCAAAGAGTTGGACACGACTGAGCAACTCAGCACACACTCAAGTACCCACTGGGGACTCCTGTGGAAAGGGATAAAGGAGGTTTCAACTGATAGATAATTCAGTTCCTCCCCTCACTTGGAACAAGGAAATTGTAATAGAAAATAAGTTGAGTTATGGAAAATGAAGTTACCTTTCTCTCACACAGAAAGATGGGGACACCTGCATGGGTGTCAGTTAGAAACATACAGGTGAGGCTCTGTAGGGCAGGGCAGGGATGCAGGCGCAGGGCTGTGGGAGGTCAGAGGAGGGGGAGCTGGTTCGAGAGAGGCGCCAATCTCGGCACTCTATAGCACTGCCAGGATTACTCCTCACAACCAAACCCTGGGTCAGTACTGTGTGATCCCCCTCCAGAGATGAGAAGCAAACTGATTCACGCAGGGAGGAAATCGGGCTGGGATATCAATCCAGGTCTGTCTGCGGCCAGCAGGGACTGGCACCGCATGTAGGAGATGGGGCTGTGTAGACAGGTCTTCCAGGCAGGACAGGGCAGAAAAGCATCTTAAGAAGTATTTTCATCCTTCTAAGATCCCTGTAATCTCCGGAGACAGGACTTTGTTCCTTTGGGGTGCCCCTACACACTCTTAGCCCATGTGGTCCAGCAGAGCCTGACCCCCTTCATGGGAGGAGGACCCAGGGAGGAGCACATGGCCCGAGGTATGCCAATCACAGACCTCCAGAAATACGGGCAAGAGGTGCACTCTTCTGAGACCGGGGACAGTGAGGCCCTCCACGTCAGTCAGCCGCCAATATTATCTTGGCATCTGTGGAGAAAGCCCACCTAAGGTGAGCAGGCCACTGATTGGAATCAAAGCAAGTGCTGAGAACTATGAGCTTGTACCGTGCCTGCTTCAGAAAGTCCATGATGAGCCTTATCATAGAAGACATGATACAATAAAGACAGCAGAGAGCTGGAGGAAATCAAAATCACCCAAACATGGAGAAAGGAAGGGAGCTCCTGACAGCCAAGACAGAAGGGGAAGTAGGAAGGGGAGGGTCATTTCCACGACCTGCTAGATGGAATTCAACCATTTCTTCGAAAAAAACAAATCTGAATCTGAGTGAAGGAGGACACAAGGGGAGCCAGAAGGCCCTGCTCAGCTTCTGCCACAGGAAGCCTTCACCGCATCCGACATCCACTGGAGGAAGCTGCCAGGGCCACGAGCCAGCCCCATCTCAGCAGGGGACCCCACTTTGACTTAATCACAAAGACTGGGGCCACCGCTGACATGTCTCCCCGTCCTCTCCCCGTGTAGCCCCCACGAAGGTCTGGGCAACCACACCACCTCCCCCTTTTATTTTCCGCCTTCCACGCCGAGGCAAGCCTGCAGCCGTGAAGACATGCCCACGCCTGGGCCCCGGAACCCTGCTTCCCTTGCCCAGGGAATCTTGCTCCACTGCTCACCTCTGCCACTCCGCTTCTGCCCTTCTTTACCCAAACTCCCTGCCTCAGTTCAGAAAGCCGGTCAAAGTGTCTCCCTTCACAAACACACCCTCTTCCTGGAAACTGCCACACCCTTCTATTAATATTCCTGTCCGGGACTTCCCTGGTGGCGCAGTGGATAAGAATCCGCCTGCCAATGATCCGGGAATATTCCACATGCAGCGGAGCAACGAATCCCGTGCACCGAAACTACAGAACCTTCGCCCCAGGGCCGTTGAGCCACAGCTAAGAAGCCCTTGGGCCACAACTACTGAAGCCCACACGCCTCAAGCCTGTGCTTCACAAGAGAAGCCACCACAGTGAGAAGCTCCCGCACAGCAATGAAGAGTAGCCCCCACTCACCGCAACTAGAGAGAGCCTGTGCGCAGTAACGAAAACCTATCACAGCCAAAAATGAATACATAAATAAATGCGTATTCGCACCCAGCTCTCATAAAAAAGCTTCTCAGAAGACCAGTGTAGACACAGCTTACGGTCTACACTGCCTCTCCTCCTGTTCTCCAATCCAGCTGTTGCACCTCTGCCCTAAGTCACCATGATCTCCTTGTCCCTAAAGTCCACAGGCACCGCTCCATCCTTGTCCTGCTGGTCTCCTCACTGCAGAGATGCTGGCCATCTTTCCCTCCCTCTTGCAACCCTTTGCTCCTGGTCTCGTGCTTGCTGCCCCACCTACACCCCTTCTCAGGCTGTCTCAGGGCCCCTCGTCTTCTCTACCTCCTTCTGTGTGACCGGTCTCCACATTTCCAAACATGAGCCACCTCTCAATTCATTCTCCAAGCACCCCTGGGAAGCTTCTCCTCCTGGAGGGCCTGGCAGCAGTTCCTTCCACACATTGTCCAAAACAACTTGCCATCCCCCTCCCGGCCGAGACCCCCTCCTCCACCTGTGGTCCCTGGCTCTAGTGAGCAGCATCACCCACCCTGTGCCCCAAGCAGAACTCCTCCAGGGGCCCCTTCATCCCGCATGGTGATCAGCACAGTGATCAGCTCCCAGGTCTGACTGGTGTGGCTTCCTGAGGATTTCTCAGATCCACCTCCTCCATCCTCTCCACCCCTTCATCTTCTCCCATGTGTATAGTGGCTCTCAATTGTCTCCTTTTCCCATCTTTCCTGCCTGCCTCCTCTGGGTTTCCACAATGTGAATCCAAGCTTGCCACTTCCCTGTTTAAATCCTTTGATGGCTCTCTCTGGCCTTGAGAGTAAAATCCAAGTCTCTCCAACCCCCCTTCCCAATACCTGGCCTCCTCCTCTGGCACTCCTGGTCTAGAACTTTACCCTCCAGCCACTCGACTCTTTATCTGCCCACATGCTGCAGGTTTCCACCTTTACTCATGTGTCCCTCTACCTCCTCACTTCTCTTCTTTCCCCTTTTACCTGGCTAATTGCTGTTCACCCTGAGAGACCAGAATGTTACCTCCTCCTGGAAGACCCCCAGCCACCCCCACGATCCCTCCCTGGTGCTCCCAGATGGCCTGTGAATTATGTGGAAATATATGTTCCCCTCTCCCTTACTGATCAGAGAGTTACCTTGAGAATAAGATCTGGTCTGACCTAATTCATATGTCCCAGCTTCTGGAACAAGAGCTGGCCCTGAGTCGGTGTTCAAAACACTTGTTGAGTTGTTGGGTAAGTGAATGACCCTACCCTGAGACATGGTTAGCTGGGTTGGAGGTGGCTGAAACCTGGGTGGTGGGGGCAGGGGGCTAGGCAGGAGTGACTGTCTCCCTGGAAGGGGCTGGGCCCAGAGCTCACCGGTACAGAGCAGGCCTATGCAGATCCAGCGGAACAGGTGTGCGTGCTCCCTGCAGAAGTGTCTCACTCTCAGGGCTGGTTGCAGCCTCCTTCTCCTGGGGAGAAGACCAGCAGGGTCTAAGAGAGGCTTCCCCACCAGACTCCCACACCTGTGAGGATCCTCAACACTTCCAGGCAGAAGCCACTCAGCTTCATCCCCAGTAAAATGGCAACCCTGGCCTTGACATCCCACAGGGCCAAAGGTCAACCCTATAGGAGGAAGCTGAAGAATGCCTTGACTGCAGCCATGAAATTGAAAGACACTTGCTCCTTGGAAGAAAAGCTGTGACAAACCTAGATAGTGTATTAAAAAGCAGAGACATCACTTTGCTGACAAAGGTCCATATAGCCAAAGCTATGATTTTTCCAGTAGTCATGTATGGATGTGACAGTTGGACCACAATGGAGGTTGAGCACTGAAGAATTGATGCTTTCAAATTGTGGTGCTGGAAAAGACTCTTGAGAGTCACTTAGACTGCAAGGAGATCAAACCACTCAATCCTAAAGGAAGTCAATCCTGAGTGTTCATTGGAAGGACTGATGCTGAAGCTGAAGCCCATTACTTTGGCCACCTGAGGTGAAGAGTGACTCATTGGAAAAGACCCTGATGCTGTGGAAGATTGAAGGCAGGAGGAGAAGGGGACAACAGAGGATGAGATGGTTGGATGGCATCATCAGCTCAATGGACATGAGTTTGAGCAAACTCCGGGAGATGGTGAAGGACAGGGAAGCCTGGTGTGTTGCAGTCCATGGGGTCACAAAGAGTCAGACATGACTCAGCCCTTCACTGTTTCTGGCCTCTGTCTGTCCGAACCAGCTGTTCCTCAGCCTGGAGCAGCACCACTAATTACCACAGTGATGCTCCAGGCTCCAGGGCTTCGGAAAGACTGAACTGAGACAATAAGGAAGAACATCACCCACATAAAGAAATGCACCAACCACGATGGCTGCCTCCCCTTGCCTGTTCCATTTCCACCTGTCTGAGGAGCAAGGAGGAGCCTTTGGAGGCACTCAGCTCTGTACTTATTATACCTGTGGAATCTTATCCTCTGAGTAACAGCTCCTCCCAGAAAAAGGGAGGAATCAACAGCCCACCAGCAGCCATTTGGCACCCCCACTGCCTTCTGAATCTGGAGCAAATGTCAGTTCTTGTCTGGTCACTTGGTCACTTGACTGTACCCAGAGGAAAGACTGAATAGGTCCCTGGGGACCTGAATAGCCTCTGAGGTCCCCCAGCCTGAGCATATAGGAGATGATCACTCACACTCATTCAGTCACCACTTTTTAAAGGAAACTCTCTTCTCTCTGTCCCCACCTCCCACTGCTGTTCAGTTGCTCAGTCATGTTCGGCTCTTTGCAGCCCCATGAGACCCACCAGGCTTCCCTGTCCTTCACTACCTCCCCACCTCCTAAGTGAGACATTTTTCTTCAGTCTCACCCCAAGGCAGACAGACAGACTCTGCCCCATTCCATGCTTGAAAACTGCAGGACTCTATGGGGCTCCTGGGCTCAGAAACCTTCCAGCATCCATGACCTTCCTTGAGTCCCAAAGGGCAGGTTCAAGCAGTTGGTAATCAGGGAAGGGAGTGGAGGCAAAGACAAGGGAGGAGCAGCCAAGAAACAATAATGCAGCCTTGGGTTAGGTCCTGGTTCAGCCTCAAGGAACACGGGTAACAGTATTTTTGAGCTTTTACCGAACTAAAACCCAACAAATGGAAAATGACAGCATTCTTCATTCCAGAAAAGACCACCTGAGGCCAGATTAAAGAAACCAGATAAGTTCATCAAGAGATCACCTGAGACTCGATTAAAGGTGTGCAGGCCCTGCACACACCCTAATCTTGTCAGCGCCCCACCCTTGAACCTATGCTATAAAACACCTCACCAAATCCACCTGGGTGGGGACACACAGTTTTGAGGGCATGAACCCACTGTATCCCCCTTTGGCTGGCAAAGCAACCAAGCTACTCTTTTCTACTTCACTCAGAACTCTTATCTCTGAGATTCGATTTGGGACCAGTGCACAGAGGCTGTGTTTGTGGCTTCACATTCTCATCAGCTCAGGGTCTGGCCAGTGAGGACCTCGCAGTAGGCCTGGGTGTCAGCAGGCCGAGCCCTAGGCTCCATTTGCTGCCTGTGTGACCTGGGCCCACTTCTCTCCCTCCCTGGGCTTTCAGCCTCCCCATGTGAAACAAGGGGCCTGGGCCAGTCTAGGGGGTTTCAAACTAAGCCTCAGTGTTCCCTGAGGAGCCCTAGAAACCAGATGGGGTAGAAGGCAGCTGGTGAGTTGAGAGGGGGCCAGATTGGTTCAGGGCCCCCATCCAGCTTCAACCAAAGCAGCCCCCCAGTATAAACTGAGGTTCCCAATGGGAACCTGCTTCAAAGCAGGTTGGGAAACTCGGGCCTGGCTCACCACTGAGGCGGAGGCCAACAGAACTCACTTGTTTCTAAAACACCTTTACTCCTTCCTTCAACAAAGGTTCAGGGAGGCCCCTCCTCATCAGGGGGCCAGATTCCCCACTTCTGCTCCCCATGGGGGTCTCCTTCCCAAGCCAACCAGCCCATGTCCCTCCCGGAGATCACCTACCATCCCGAGGAGGGCTCTGGGCCAGCCTTGCTCCAGCTGTCCCCAGCTTCCGAAGGGCTTGCGTTGCTGCCAGGGCCTTGGCCTTCCTCCTAAAGCCACCAGAGAAGGAACAGATTATGCCTCCCACCTCGAGGGAGAACTATGGCTGGGGGCCCGGAGTGCGGAGAGACCCAGGCTGCCACCAGTGTGCCCAAGGGCACCTCAGGAGTGTGCTGGGGTGGGGGCTAAGCACAGGGAACAACCAGAGGGAACTTAAGTAAATTCCAGAGTGTGCCCTGAGTACCTACAGTGTACTGTGTTCTGTGCTAGACTCATTCTGCCCTCGGGAGCTCGTGGTCTGTGTTGGGGGGGGGGGTGTTGGTGTTGTGAGAAGAAGCCAATTCTGACCCTACGACGGAACTGTTTCTTTGACTTGCTTTTCGTTGTTTTTTTTTATTATAACCGTACACACGATGGCCCGCCTCAGGGGACTCTGCCCCTGTGCCTGACTGTTAAACTAAAGTGCCTTTGTTCAGGACCCTGTTCACCTGTAGATGGCAGGAAGGAAGAAATTAACACATCCCCTGCCTGAGGCTTGCCATTCTAGGAAATGTTTGCAAGATTAATGCCTTTTTTCTTGGCTCCCTCACCTCCCCACATCTCTGATCTATAAAAGAACCTGGCATCCAGACCCCATAAGATGGTTATTTTGAGGCGCTAGCCCACCGTCTTCTCAGCTCCCTGAATAAAGTCTTTCCTTTGCCTCAGCCCTTTGTCCGAAGGATTCATTGGCCTGTGTGCAGCAAGCAGAGTGAGCCTGGACTTGGTAACAGAAGGTAAGCTCAGACGATAAAGAATTTCCCTGCAATGCAAGAGACCAGGGTTCGATCCCTGGGTCGGGAAGACCCCCTGGAGAATGGAATGGCTACCTGCTCCATTATTCTTGCCTGGCGAATTCTATGGACAGAAGAACCTAGCTGGCTATAGCCCATGGGGTCACAGAGTCAGACAAGACTGAGTGATTATCACTTTCACTTTCAACAGGATGTTGAGAAGGAAGAGGGTGTCACGCTAGACTCCAGAGTACTAGGTGGTGGGCCTCAACCTGGCCATTCCAGAGCCAGGACAAGATTGCTGGCTCCTCAGAGGCGGGGGCTTCCCCAGAGATACCCCCACGCCCTCTTTGTGAGGCTTCTCCTTACGTTTTAGATCACAGCTCAAATGTCATTTCCTGGTGGAGCCATTCCCTGACCTTTCCAACAAGGACAGGCAGTACTGGCTCGAGGTGGGTGTGCACAGATGTTCCCCAAGGGATGAAGGAGACTGCTCTGTGCAGAGGGTGGGGAGGGGAGGTCAAAACCCTGGGGGGGGTTCGGGAGGGGCTGTTCCCAAGTGTTCACCAAAGAGGTGAGGAGGAGAGAGGGGTGGGAGGAAGACGGTGAACAAAGGACCCTCCCACCAGGTGGGGGTGGGGGGCAAACCAGGATGAGGGAGGGGACAGACCAGACTTTCCAACAGCTCAGCACCCCTGTTGTCCAAACCGTTGGCCACTGAGGCGAGAGAGATGGACTCTCTTCCTATTGGTGTGTCGTCCTCCATGAGCCAGACCTTGCAGCTGAAAGACAAAGTCAGGGCCCAGAGCTGAAAGGAGGCCAGGCAAGACCTGGCACAGTCTCTCCCATCCCAGAGCTCAACCCTCGTTAAGTCAGGGTCCCCAGGGACAGAGGAAGGGCCGCTTCCTGTTCTCCTGAACCTGTGAGGGGCAACTCCTTGTAAGTCTGGGAAGTCAGGCAAAAACTGGGCAAGTTCCACCCACTTCACAGAGAAGGAAAGGGAGGAATTCTGTATAGCATGTGTATGTGTCTGATATAGAGGCATTTTTCTGAAAACATGCCCTAGCTTTCATCACTCCCTCCAACAGGTTAAAACCATTGCTATCAGGTGATATTTTCATTGCTATTATGTGATATTTTCATTGTATCATGTGCTCCCATCTCTGAAAGACAGAAATATCCTGAAGACATCATTCTAGTCCCTGAATCCAACTGTATCTGAAATCAGTACTCCCTCCTGGACTTTTCAATTACAAGAGCTAATGTAATTGGTATTTTTTTTTTCTTTCTTTCTTTTTTCTTAGTGGGTGCTGAAGTTCAGTTTGTAGGCCTAAACTCATCTATAAATAAGAGCCCTAACTAACACCCTATCTCTCTCCACTCCTGCCCCCTCTCTTTTTCTCCCTTTTGGGTAGTACCCTACCCTGTCCAAATGCCAGCCTGACTAATCTCACATACCCGGGGGCAAGCACAGAGGGCCACACACAGGTGCACACAGGACCCCCAGGGACATGTAGGGAAGTAGACACACAGGCAGAGCCTGGGAAAGCCCAGCCACCCACGCACACAGGCAAAAGCAGACACACAGCTGCACGGAGCGGGGACAAGCTCCGCTCCCTACTCACATATTTGTGGTCAACACGTCCCTCTGGGGGACAGACGCAAGTGCGTGTTTCCACGGGGATGGGCTGGATCCAACCTGCTTGGGCCTTGGCCGGCCTTCTCATTTCACTGGAAATCCCTGGGCAGAGTCCAGAGTTGAAGGAGGCTGGGCCTCCCACCTGGCTCTGTCCAGCACCAACTCGGGAGCCCTGGGCCACGGCCGAGGCAGGGACTCTAGCCTCTGTCAGAGAAAAGAGGAAACGGGGCAAGTGGGCCCCATTCTGGACCTGGCCCTTGGAACTCCTGCCTAATGACTAAATCTGCCTTCCTCATCTATGATGCCCTCCTCTCCACTCTTCTCCCAAACAGGCCCACCTCTTCCAAGAAGCCCCCCTTTATTACTATCACTCTCCCATGTCCCCTCCTGGGGCCTCCTTTTCCACCTGTCATCAGGGCTGTTCAGTTTTCTAGATCATGTATTTTATCTTTCATTCTGTAATTTTCCCAGTCTCCCTTTTCTCACTACATCCGTAATTATAACAGCAACCTATTTTCCTGAGCTTGAAGATAAGAAAAGCAGTGTAGTACCACAAACAGTGAAAGTGTTTCAGGTCTAAGAGGTCTTGAAAACAAAACAAAATCACACAGTTTGCCTCTTTGTTTCACTGCTTTTTAACTGACACCTAAGCAACGGCATGCAAAGTCAATGGACAAACCCTTTAATGTTTTAATGCTGGAACTAAATATTAAACTTATCTGACAGGACTGACAACATCTCTTTAATAATTAATCAGACACACTCGTGACAGAATCCTTTGTGATGCATAAACACTTCCTGGTAACACAGAGAGGGAATTACCAGCACAGGCTGGTTGTTTTGGAAATCTGAGGACCAGGATGGGTGAAGGGCGGGGGTACCTCTTCTCTTAACAACATTTTTTTGGCTACTTTGATTACCAAAGTTACACATGCATCATTGAACATTTAAACATTATAGAAACAGACAAAATGCAGAAAGTTAAAAGTCCCTCTAATCTGAGCCTTCCAGAGATGACCACCGCTGAGCTTGTGGAATTTTTCTCCAGATTTTTTCGTAAGTGGATACTCTTTTATGTTACTCATTTCACAAAAGAGGCTGGTAGTCTACCAGCTTGTTTTGCAATCTGTTCTTTCGGTTGGAGATCCACACTGCGCCCTGCTCACTCTGTTGGGGGCTCGTGGGCTGCCTTGATCACAAACTACATGCTTGTGGCACACTTCTGGTTTACCCTGAGCAGAACACTTGGCACCCTGGGCAGCCCCCACAGGGGTGGGCTTGCAGCTGCCCTGTGGGGTGGGTGGAGGGGCTCATCAGGCCCCAGCAAAGGGCAGACTGGACTGTACTTGCTTCTCTGCCTCTGCCCCTTCAAACCTCTCCGTCCCTCCCCTCGCCTCTCCCCTCCCTGCATCCTCCTCCCTCTTCTCCCCTCCCCTCCTTGGTTGGTTTCTCTTGTGCCCAGAGAGAAGCCAGGAGACCTGACACATCTAGGAGTAACCAAAATTGTTTCGAAACATTCCCTACACTGTGTCCTAGAACCTTGACATCTCTGTGTGGCCTGATCTCTCCAACAAGGACTTAATAGGCTGTGCCTCTTGAAATGGGGCTTCCCTGGACCTCCTGCAATGCAGGAGACCCCAGTTCAATCCCTGGGTCGGGAAGATCCCCTGAAGAAGGATCTGGCAACCGGCTCCTATATTTAACAAACTGTGAGCTTAGAGCCCAAAGAACTAGATTCAGTCCTGGTTCTGCCAGGTAGCATGTTTCCTCATTTGTAAAACAGTGGGAGTGGGTAAGACTGCCTTTTTCATAAAAAAATATTGACAGGGATTAAGTGAGCTAATGCAGGTGAGCTACTTGGCAGACAGGCTGGCACCACTGAGCTGGCGGGTGTCGTCGCTGCCGCAGGTCCCATCTCAGAGCCGCCTGGACATACTGCTCCCCTCCCCCAGGCCAGGGGACCCTGTGCTGGTCCCCTGCTCCTGCCCTGAAGGAGGGGCAGCCAGCAGCGATCCTGGGCCCCCTGAAGCCCGACTCTCTTTCCAGGTAGAACTTGGCTGAGAGGCCCGGGTGGGGCAGCTGGGAGGCTGGGTGGGTTAAGGTGAGTCCCCAGGGAAAGAGCAAGAGCTGGAGGACCCTTTGGGTCCCAGCTGCACCCAGCCAACTGTGTGACCTCCATGTGTCACTTGACCCTCTGTGGCCTGCTTCCTGAGGAGATGATCTCACTGGGGAGGTAGAGTGAGGCCAGTGACTGAGCAGGGCTGGGGTGCTGCGTCCAGGGCAGGGTGTGCAAGGAATATACATTTCTGGCAGTAAAGAACCCACCTGCCAATGCAGGAGGCATAAGAGATGCCGGTTTGATCCCTGGGACAGGAAGATCCCCTGGAGGAGGGCATGGCAACCTACTCCATTATTCTTGCCTGGAGAATCCCATGGACAGAGGAGCCTGGTGGGCTATAGTTCAGGGGGTCACAAAGAATTGGACACAATTGAAGTGACTGAGCACACACGCATGCATATATATGTGTGAATATATATATATATATATACACATCAGTTTAGTTCAGTCGCTCAGTCGTGTCTGACTCTTTGCAACCCCACAGACTGTAGCACGCCAGGCCTCCCTGTCCATCACCAACTCCTGGAGCTTATTCAAACTTATGTCCGTTGAGTCGGTGATGCCATCCAACCATCTCATCCTCTGTTGTCCCCTTCTCCTTCCACCTTCAATCTTTCCCAGCATCAGGGTCTTTTCCAATGAGTCAGTTCTTCACATCAGGTGGCCAAACTATCAGAGCTTCAGCTTCAGTCCTTCCAGTGAATATTCAGGACTGATTTCCTCAGCATTGACTGGTATGATCTCCTTGCAGTCCAAGGGACTCTCAAGAGTCTTCTCCAACACTACAGTTCAAAAGCATCAATTCTTCTGCTCTCAGCTTTCTTTATAGTCCAACTCTCTCATCCATACATGACTACTAGAAAAACCATTGTTTTGACTAGATGGACCTTTGTCAGCAAAGTAATAATGTCTCTGCTTTTTAATATGCTGTCTAGGTTGGTCATAGCTTTTCTTCCAAGGAGCAAGCGTCTTTTAATTTCAAGGCTGCAGTCACCATCTGCAGTGATTTTGGAGCCCCCCAAAATAAAGTCTTTCACTGTTTCCATCATTTCCCCATCTATTTGCCCTGAAGTGGTGGGACCAGATGCCATATTCTTAGCTTTCTGAATGTTCAGTTTTTTTTTTTTAATTTTTTTAATGTTTTTTTTTCATTTATTTTTATTAGTTGGAGGCTAATTACTTTACAACATTGCAGTGGTTTTGTCATACATTGAAATGAATTAGCCATGGATTTACATGTATTCCCCATCCCGGTCCCCCCTCCCACCTCCCTCTCCGCCCTATCCCTCTGGGTCTTCCCAGTGCACCAGGCCCAAGCACTTGTCTCATGCACCCAACCTGGGCTGGTGATCTGTTTCACCCTAGATACACATGTTTCGATGCTGTTCTCTTGAAACATCCCACCCTCGCCTTCTCCCACAGAGTCCACAAGTCTGTTCTATACATCTGAGTCTCTTTTTCTTTTTTTTGCATATAGGGTTATCGTTACCATCTTTCTAAATTCCATATATATGTGTTAGTATACTGTAATGGTCTTTATCTTTCTGGCTTACTTCGCTCTGTATAATGGACTCCAGTTTCATCCATCTCATTAGAACTGATTCAAATGAATTCTTTTTAATGGCTGAGTAATATTCCATGGTGTATATGTACCACAGCTTCCTCATCCATTCATCTGCTGATGGGCATCTAGGTTGCTTCCATGTCCTGGCTATTATAAACAGTGCTGCGATGAACATTGGGGTGCACGTGTCTCTTTCAGATCTGGTTTCCTCGGTGTGTATGCCCAGAAGTGGGATTGCTGGGTCATATGGCAGTTCTATTTCCAGCTTTTTAAGGAATCTCCACACTGTTTTCCATAGTGGCTGTACTAATTTGCATTCCCACCAACAGTGTAAGAGGGTTCCCTTTTCTCCACACCCTCTCCAGCATTTATTGCTTGTAGACTTTTGGATAGCAGCCATCCTGACTGGCGTGTAATGGTACCTCATTGTGGTTTTGATTTGCATTTCTCTGATAATGAGTGATGTTGAGCATCTTTTCATGTGTTTTTTTTGAATGTTCAGTTTTAAGCCAACTTTTTCACTCTCCTCTTTCACTTTCATTAAGAGGCTCTTTCTTCCAACCAAAACAAAACAGAAGCACTTGCAAAGATTTATAATGATGAGGCTGCTCCGTCTCTCCCATCCCTGTCCCCTTCATCAGAGGCAAGCCCTTCCCTGTTTCTGGCTTCAGTTCTCTGGGGCCACTCCTATTTCAGAGGGGTTTTTGGTCAAAGTGGTAGAGAATCCCTTCTCCTTTCCAGGCTCTGATATAACGCAGAGGATATTTTTATAAGCGGTGAGACATTCAGAACTGTATGCAAACATCTTCAGAAAGGTTACAACAACCCCCTTATGTTCTTGTCCCAGTTTTGCCCACACTTCTTGGGTCTTCACCGATGAAGTCTATTTCATCACATCGATTCATGTGTCCAAACAGTGGCTAAAAACCAGAGGCTTTTCCTTAGCTAAGTTCATAAGCAGAACCATGTCATTCCTCTTTCCTAAACCTGCTTCTCTCTCTCTCTCTGGGAAGTTAGCAAAAGGGACATTGAATGTGATGTTTCTTTTCTCATTTGGGGCATTGAAAACTGGGGTTCCTATAGTCCTAGTAGGAATATTCTAAATTAGAAAGTATGTATGAATTCCGACGACACAGAGCAAAATACCAAAACTGAAGAAATATCTTAGGCATCGATACCCTCTACTTGTAACTCTTATCCGCTTTTCCTAGAAGGGGACCCTACCGAGACTGAGGGCAGAGTGCCCTTTCAGCACACCTACAGCAAGTCTGGGTGTTCACAGGGGAAGGAAATACTCCCAACACCTGAAAGGCCAAAGTTCCTTGCCCCCAACTTACTTGCCACAACCATCCCAGCATCTCCTGACAGAGTCCACCCCTTGACCCCTTCGAGTCATTGGAAACAGATGGGCAGAAATGGCCACTATCCACTACGAGGTGAAAGAATGGGTCTGGGGCTCATCTCTCTCAGCAACAGTAAAGGGCCAGTAAAGTAAGCACACCTTGATCTTTCCATATGATCTGACAGAAAAGACCACATGAATTTCTTGGCCAACCCAGTATTTAACTGACTGCTATTTTGTGATGCATGTTTCCCTTGTTGCTGTGGTTTTACACACACACACACACGTGTGTGTGTGTGTGTGTATAGTGATTTTTTAAAAATTATGTATCTATTTTTGGCTGCGCTGGGTCTTTATTGCTGCACGGGCTTTTCTCTGGTCGTGGAGAGTGCGGGCTACTCTTTGTGGCAGTGCGCCAGTTTCTCGTTGTGGTGGTTTCTCTTGTTGTGGAGCACAGGCTCTAGAGCACAGGCTCAGTAGCTGCGGCACATGGGCTTAGTTGCCCCATGTTATGTGGGATCTTCCTGGACCTGGGACTGAACATGTGTCCCCTGCATTAGCAGGCAGATTCTTACCCACTGAACCACCAGGGAAGACCCTGTTGCTGTTGTTGTTTTATCTTCTATCCCTCTTGCCTTTCCATCTCATATTAGCCTTTCATATGTGAGGTTGAGATGTTCCCTTTTTCAGTTTGAACTGGCTTAAAGTGTTCCACCAACGTGGGTGTTAATTCAGGTTATCCTGTTGGACCTGGGGATGCTACCCCTGGTTTTGGTTTTATACCAGAGCTTACATCCTCTTCTGGGAGGCACATCATTTTCTGCCAGCCATGGAGGGAGCGGGGGCATTTGTTTGGACCTCCGTAGCCTTGTTGGTCCAGAGCATGATACTGAGTGACAGTTGATAAGCTGGTTAATCGTACAGGCAAAGATCGTCCCGTGATCGTTCCATCTTCTCCCTCTGTCAGGGTAGTACCCTGATGTGGCACCCATGGGGCTTTACAGCAAAGCCAGCTATTTGTACGGAAGTTTCCATGAAGAGGACTGTACGCCTCCTGGGAAGATCTCATAAAATGAATCTACCGCTGGCCAGCAGAGTCATAGGGAAGATGCTGACAGATGGGGCATCTCAGTTAACTACAGTTGTTAGGAAGAACAAAAATGGGCATCTCTGAGTGTCACATCCAGACACTGAAACTCTCCAGGTCCTGTATCTTGCTTCCCTCCACCTGGGTGGAATTCCAGTAATAATATCAATCGTGCCACAGACCACAAGTCACAGCCTCCACTGACTTTCCTCTGACTAGCACTGCCTGTTCTTCCTGTGTGGACTTGCCAAGTCTACATCACAACTCACTTTGAAACTCTTTCCATGGCACTGTGCCTTAAAAGCAAGAGTCATTCTCCCAAAGATTTTGTCTAATGCCCTTCAGGTCTGTGACTACAGGGGTTTGTGGAGAACCTGACCCACCCCAGGAGCTAAGCACTGACCAGTTGTGGGTCAGGAGGCAGTGCTGGCTAAATGGGATGAGAGTTGGAAAGACAGTTTTCAGGGGTAGGGTAGGGATGTTTTTAGCCACCACCCTGAAGGAAGGGGGAAATACCAGGGTCTCCCAGCTTGGAGAGGAACAGCAGATGTGAGTGAGCCCTGAGATGGATCCCGAAATTCCAGATAATGACAACAATGGTACCAGCTGAGGTTGGCCTGTGCCAGATGGTGCTAAGAGCTTTCACTTCACTGTCTCAGTTAACCCTCAAGATAACCCCATGAGGTACGTACTGGTCACCATTTCCTCCCATCTGTTCTCCTTGGAGAGTATGATGGAGGAGCCAGCACTATAAATGGAGCGACTATTGAGAAGCTGAGCAGCCTGGGGTAGAACCATAAGCCACTCTGCCACGTGTCTGTATCAGGGAGATCTGACCTGTTGTTTGAGGTGACCACCCTGTGTTTCTTTTTTTTTTTTTTTCACCCTGTGTTTCTACCTCACCTGCCACTCGATAGGCAGGATGGACTCTGGGCTCACACTTTGACCAAGTGACTGTGAGCTGTATTCTCTGATCAGACTCCATGAAGTCAGGGATTGTTGCTTGTTGTTCAGTTGCTCGGTCGTGTCCAACTCTTTACAGTGCCATGAACTGTCGCCCGCCAGACACCTCTGTCCATGGGATTTCCCAGGCAAGAATACTGGAGTGAGTTGCCATTTCCTTTTCCAGCGGATCTTCCCGACCCAGGGATTGAACCCGGGTCTCCTGCTTGGCAAGCAGACTCTTTACCACTGAGCCACCGGGGAGACCCAAAGTCAGGAAAACTGTGTCTCTAAACAACTTCCTGACGTATCAGAGAGACCCAGCACACATTCTGCAGGGGCTGGTTTACTGGGCACTCAGCCACATAACCTCAATCACTTGAAACCAACTGCTCTGGGGATATACATTTTTATTCTGTTAGAAAACAAGAGCCCTAATGAAAATTTCTCTGCCAGTGACAGAGTCTACACCACAAGACACCTGATGTGTCTTAAGCAGATTCCTTAGCCTGAGATGGGGATTCTTGTTCTAGTGATTTACTTGTGTGTCTGTGTGTGGTGGGCGGGGTGGGGTGAAGGGGGTGGGGGCAGAGTACAGGATGCAAAATAAGACAGGGGTAGGAAAGGAGGGTGCCATCTTGGCTAGACTCTGATCTTGCTGTGAAACTCTGGAACATCCCTAGGTTAGTCCACCTTGAGGCAGGACCAGGCCCATCAGTCAGGGGCTAAGAACTAGGAAAGGGTTTGGGACGGGGCATCACATCCCAGGTTGGGTGGCTTCCGTTTGACTTATGGAATGGTAGCAGGAGGTGATTCCCACAGCAAGGGGATCTGAGCAGGGTGCCAGCGGCACCCACTACTGGCTGGTTTTATTGGCACCCCTCACCCCAGGCTACTGTGGGTTAGTTCAACCCATGACCAAGCAGAGTTGTTTCCCCATAGGTGATTAGGGGTTGTCAGAGAGGACCCTGGGTTTGTCTACCACTTGGCTGTAGTGAGAATTCTCAAGGGGGTTTGGTGGACCCAAATTGGTTTAGTGAAACAAAGGTGTTTAATTTGGTCAGAAATGTCAGCTGGTTGAAACTAAAGGGATGTGTCCCATATGGGGTCTGGCTGTACCATTCAAATAATTAAAAAGCCAGCAGCCAGAGCAGCCGACTAGACCTTACCCCAGGCCAGGTATCCATATAATCATGTCCTGTTGTTACTCTACCATGTAGGCATATGCTGCAAGTCCCAGGGTGACTGTCTTTCATCTTCATGTGGGGTATATCCCTGAGGCTGAGTAGGTGATAGCTGCTACCTTGAGCTGCCCTTTGGAAATAATAGGAAAGAGCCATCTCTGAACCACATTAGTTCTGAGGTCAAAGGACAGTTCCTCAGGGGTTCCAGGACCTCTAGTGTCAGTAGAGGTTATTGTTGTTTAGTCACTAAGTCGTGTCCAACTCTTTGAGACCCCATAGGCTGTGGCCCACCAGGCTCCTCTGTCCATGGGATTTCCCAGGCAAGAATACTAGAGTGGGTTGCCATTGCCTTCTCCAGGGGATCTTCCCAACCCAGGGATTAAACCCGGGTCTCCTGCATTGGCAGGTGGATTCTTTACCACTGAGCCACATGGGAAGCCCTCAGTAGGGGATGTCTCTTTAAAAAAAAAAAAAAAGACATATCAGACCCAAAATGGAGTCAATTATCCTTAGGACAGCAAACCAAGACTCTACTATAGAGTCAACCACTCCCAGGAACTTGACCTTTAACCAGTCAATCTGGAATTACCTGGTCAGCACAGTGAGGTCACCTGCATGACAGAGTCCCCTTTCCTCCCAAAGGAAGGCGACCTTGCCTGAAATAATCCTTTCTTTCCTCTGACTTTATTGTCCCACCTACTTCCTGCCTTTAAAAACCTTCCACATTGGGGCTTTCCTCAGGGTCTACCGATTAAGAATCTGCCTTGCAGTGCAAATGAAACCGTTTTGATCCCTGGTCCAGAAAGATCCCATGTGCTGTGGGGCAACTGAGCCAGTGCGCCACAACTACTGAACCTGTGCTCTAGAGCCCAGAAGCCACAATTACTGAGCCCCTAGAGCCCGTGCTCTGCAACGAGAAAAACCACTGCAATGAGAAGTCTGTGCTTCTAGGGTACAGAAGTTCTGTACCGTAACGAAGAGTAGTCCCTGCTCACTGCAACTAGAGAAAGATCACACAAAGCAATGAAGACTCAGGTTAGCCAAAAATAAATTTAAAGAATGAGATAGCCTCCCTGAGTGTGAATAGCTCATGGGTACTGACAACATCAAGGTACAAAATTGGGACCCAGACTCTGCCCCATGCAACACTGTTGATCTGCCAGTAACCAGAATCCACTTTCGACATAATCCAAGGGACGAGAGACAGAATCAGATCAGGAAATAGAAGAGTTATTCTCAGAAGAAACTGTATGAGCGAGGTAAAGTGAATCCTTAGTTGCTTCAGTTGTATCATACTCTTTGCGACTGTAGCCCACTAGGCTCCTCTGTCCATGGGAATTCTCCTGGCAAGAATACTGGAATGGGTTGCCATGCCCTCCTCCAGGTAATCTTCCCGATCCAGGGGTTGAACCCACGTCTCCTGCTTCTCCTGCATTGCAGGCAGGTTCTATACTACTGAGTCACCAGGAAAGCCCTATGACCTAGCTAATATACCTTGTCAAAAAATATAGGGGAAATTTATGGAAACTTTAAGGCTGTTTGACCAAGATAGTACAACATAGTTTGTTGATTCAGGTTTTGTTTACTGATGTGTTCTCACTCACCAGAGATTCTGGAGAAGCTCAAACAGCCACAGTTCTTCCCATGTGGGGTGGATGTGCTGACCCATGCTAAATTGTAACAAAAGACCAAAAAGCCAAGGAAGGCAGGAACTCACAGATTTCAGGAGACAAGAGGGCTTTATTGGGTCCCTGGCAAGCATCCAGCCCAACTACACTCTCACTGCTCTCTGACAGGACGGGCAAGATGGTCTCACTCTGTCATGAGAAATTGGCGAGGGAGGCCTGGAATGCTGGTTGGAAGAGGTCCTGTGAAAATGAACTCCCTGATCTCAGCAGCAGAGATAGATAAATAGAAGGAACACAGTACAGGAGTCAGCATAGTGGACATGGGTGTAGAAACCAGACCCCTAGCTATGGTTCATCGATCATGGGGCCCCAGGAATGAAAAAGACCAGACAGTGCCAAAGATATCACCCAGTTATGACTATGACTGAAGACTTCTGGTCAGGCAAAGAGGCCCGTCTCAAACTGCCAAAGTAGAGTCAAAATCTCCCACTTAAATTTCCAGACTTTCAATGGAGAGGAAGTCAAATATTTTTTAAGAAAAGCCTTATTTTGCATATTGTGAACCTTCCTTGCAGCCTTCCCTCAAAGGGATCTACGTTCAATTATTTGGGAATGGAAAGGAAAAGAAAATACTCAGACTCGGGGAGGGGGTTCTATAGGACACTGCCTTCAAGCTAAGTCCAATGTCTGGGGACAACAGAGAAGTATGTGGTCTGCCCATCCAAGGAGATATTTAATAGACTAAATTTTGTGCCATAGTAGACTCGGTGGAAACTCAAAGCCAATGAAGGGTTAGTTATTTTGAGTGTACAGTTGAAATGGATATATTCTGAGTGGGATAAGAGTGACAACAGTAAAAAAAAAAAGAGTGACAACAGTAGGATAGGATAAGCATGAGTGATTACAGTAGGACAGGATGAGCACAAGCCATCAGAATACCCCCTCACTACCGAAATGGTAAAAGTGATACCTGTTACTATCAGATTGGCGGGCGAAGTCATACTGACTCCTACCACAGCCCAGCTTGGCCAGTGCAAAACACCAGGAGGTCTTTGGCTCGTTGTAAACTTTTGTAAAATGTGGTGACTCTGATGACAGGTGCTCTCCCAGAAATGGTCTTCTTGCTAAAGGAAATTCACCCACCTCTTGGCATTTGGTATGAACGCTTTGGTCTAGCAAAATCATTTTTTCCCCTCCATTTTGATGAGCAAAGAACATCAGAAGCAATCCATCTTCAGGTGGCAGGGCCACAGGACTCCATTGCTGTCCTGCTTAAAGATATGTAACATCTTAGCTGTACATCTCCGTGCCACAACCTGACTCATGGGGACCTTGACCTCAGCACTACAATGTTCCATCATGTTGATAGGGCCTGGAGATCAGCAGTTTCCCTAGATGCTTTGTTAAGACATATGTATGAGTCAGAGGTGGGAGATAAAGCATGTGGAAATGCAAACTTTTCCCCTGATAAAGTTCCTGGGGATCGTGATCCATTGAGGTCAGAATAGTTTGTTAATGTAGAACAAACTCCTACATTGTGAATTCCTTACCACTAAGGCCCAATTTCAGGCAAAAATGTCAAGTGGGGGCATCTTCTTGCTCCGACCCACTTACTGACTGACCCAGAAGACTGCCAGCTTTGGGTTGGGCCCAGAGCGAGTGAAGGCTCTTGAGCAGGTCAAGCCAGTAACACAAATGATTCTGCCAACAGGCTGCCTGTGGCAGACCCAGGGTGCTTGAGGGATTTATCTGTGGCATACTGGGGAGCTACATGGAGCCTCGGCTGAGCAGAGTGCTGTGTGTAGCTTTTGGAAAGTCTTGATCTGGAAAATGAGGCAGGAGAACCCAGAGTGTGGAACCAAGAGATACGCTGGCCAACAAGTAACTATTAGCCTGTTGAGACACAGTCCTCTGACTTGTCACTGGGCTCTGGGGCAGTCTAAGGCTTGGCTACAGCATACTAGGTGGCCATGCTGGCCTTCAGGAAAAGGGGCTGTCAGACCCACCCAGCCACAGACAGGTGTGGCCACCATCACTAGGCAGACACGCCAGGATGGGGCTCTCAAGGCATAGGCAAGCATGTTGGTGGGGGAGGGGAGCGGTGTGGCTCACTCACTCTCTCCCACAATGCCTCCTCCTGACCTATGGCTGAGTTCATCTCAGTCTATACCTACGCTATGGCTTTAATGAGGTGGGAACCTGTCTTGACCATTACGGGCCCTTCTGGATTTGGTTTGCTCTCCTGACCTGTGACGCCTCTCCCATCAAAACCACAGGAATATCAAATGTTCTAAATCTTCAACCAGAGAAGGCACTTCATAGCAAAGTGATGGGTTGATGCTAATGGCATCTGTTCATCTTGTCAGGATCCCAGAAGTCTAGAAGTGGTTAGCTTGAAAATACAGTGAAATAGTTTGCTGAAAACTCAGGTGTGGCACCAGCTGAAAACAATACCTTGAGAAACTGGGTAAGGCCTGCAAGATGGAGCACAAGCTCCAAACCGGCCAACAGTTCATGGTGCTATTTCTCCTACAGGTTGAAGCGTGAAGAGGGGCATGTTATTACTACATCTCAAAGCTCTTCTCATACCTGAGATTTAGGATTCGACTGGTGTAGAGGTTTTAGTCCCCAAGGAAGCATCTTCAAAAATTCATAGTAATGATTCAAGTGAATTAAAGGCCTAGGCATCTGGCCGTCTCAGGTTTTTTGTACCTCTGAGCAACACATAGCTAGGATAGGAGTGTATCTAGAATAGAAGTATACATAAAGACTACGTGTAGGAGTAGCTAGGATGATTAACCCTATCAAGGGAAAATAAGATCTCGGCTATTTAAAAGGAGCAGGGTACAGATGGACGTGGGGTGTTTTCTAAAGTGCTTCCTGGTTCTCCATATCCAGTGGCTAATGTTTGCCACACAGGCAGGACCACTAAGGAACTGGACTTTGGGACTGAAGATTTAGGTCACTCCAACAGGCAAAAAAAATCCCTAGTCATAATTACTAGTTCTCATGACCAGTTATGGAAGTGTGCTGTATAGCCTTTACTCACACCTCCCTTCTTGCTGGGTTATATTCCTTCCACAGGTTGCAGAATTTCAAGATGAGATGATGATAAAAGAGGGAAGAGTATAATTTGTGACACTGGACTTCAGAGAATGGCAGCCCTGGTCACTATCCCTGGACTTGGTCATTGGCTATGACCTTGAATGGTCTCCCCAAGCAGAAAACGATTTGCTTTTGGCCACATGTGAGAATCGTAATAAGTCACATGGGAAGAAGGGTATGTTTTTATGTGTCAGGTTTTCTCCAGTGATTGCCTACCAAGCCCTTACCCTTCACCATTCTTCTGGTGAGAATCCCCATTCTTTGGAAAACTGCCTCTCCCCTACTGCATTACCCTGAGCTCTGGGATGGGAATTTGAATCTTGAGTGGAAGGAGACCCACTGCAGCCAATGCTAGCAGCTCCTGGGAGGCAAGCTCCAAGCTACTATGGCTCCTGCCCTTCTAGGTCCTGTGAACTACCCCACACCCTTCCCGAGTCCCTGCTCCTTGTTAGGTTGGTCCAAGTCCATCTCTGTTACTCAAAACCTGAGAAACATAATGGCCAATGTCTCTTTTGAGACCACCTCATACATCGCTGCCTCCCACCAGTGGTCAGCTCAGGGTCTGGCATAAAGGAAGTCTGCTCAGTATGTCTGAATGAACAGGTGGGTGAACAAACAAATCAACAACATTCAGCTCTCAGTTCACCAAGGCAGTCTGGATATGCAGGCTGGGAGCGTGAGGGGCACATTGGGGCAAGAGGAGAAAGAGGGGAGAGTCACCTGAGCACAAGAGGAGGTAGAGAAGTCAGAAATGTCTAGTGGAGGGGGGAAATACGGGACAAAGAAAGGCCTGGGTAGTTGGGTGGGGCTGGGGCTGAGAAAGCCAGAGACAGTCCGCGAGTAGCTAAGAGGACAACGGCACTGGTCATCCCTTCGGCTGGTCTTGCTGCAGTGGAGGCAGTCAGAGACTCTGGGCATCTCCCCAGCTCTACTCTTCTTTCCTGGGTTCTTTTCTTTGCATTCCTCTTCCAAATGAAGGAGCAGTTCCAAAGGCCTAAGCACCCTCATGCTCAGGGACCCAAGTCATCTTCCCAGTGGTACAAGAAGCACAGACTGGCTGGCTGTGGCCATGGAAGGCTGAGACTGTCAATCCAGGAGCCAAACCATGGATCTATCTTTCCAGTGGGTCCAGGGACTGGAGGATGTCCTCAGAAAACCCTGCCTGGTGAGAGGGGACCCTGACCCCGTACACCTACAACCACACTAGAGGAGGTGAGCTGGATGCACAGTGGCTGCCTTTATTGCATTCCAAGGGGACTGGGCTAGCTCTGGACTCCCCCCTCCCAGGCTTCAAGAAGGGCTCTCAGGAAGGACCCAGGGTGCTGGGCTGAGGACAACAACTCCTCAGGAGCCCGTACTGAGGCCCAGAGCTGGAGGCCCAGGATTGAGAGCTGAAGGTTGGAGGCAGGGGTCCTAACCCCCAGACAGAGATGCTTGTCTACCCCATGCGGGGATGGGCTGCATTCCTCCCAGAACTCCCATGTGCACTCCCTCTGGAGAAGAGTCCAGCCCTCTGTCCCTGGTCAAGAGGGCAGTGTGGAATTCACTGTGACCCCCTCTCCTTTCAGTAAGGAGCACGAGGTCTCGCAAAGTCGACGCCTTCCCTCTGGCCACAGCTGCTGATGCAAACCTCACCTCACGGCGGAGGGCCTGGGAGGAGGGGACAGGTGTACTGGGGATGGCGGCTGAGAGGCCAGAGGGTGTGCTCCTTCCCGAGGGGTGGTGGGAGGGTGGGGGTCAGCTAGGAAGCCCTCGGGTAGAGGGACAGTCAGTGAAAGGCAGGCACAGGCTGCAATCGGGCTCAAAGCCAGGGATGGGGATGGGGAGCAAGGGGGCAGGGGAGGCAGGGGAGTGAGTGCCTGAGCAACAGGGAAAGGCTGAGCATGAACACGCATCACCAAAGACCACTGCACAAGGAGGGGCAGGCCCTGGAAGGGCCCTGAGCCCCACTCGGGCTCAGGGACAGGTTAGTGGCAAGATAAGCTGGGATAAATGAGGCAAAATGGCTGAAGGAAAAGACCCTGAGAGTCACCAGGTCAGACAGAGCAGAGGAAGTCTGGAGCCCTGAGGGCAAGGAGAGATCAGAGCGAAGTGAAGGGAGAAGGGAGATGCTGTCCCACATGCCCCAGATTGACTTTAGCGGCAGGGTCTGGGCAGGACATTGGCTGCAGATCATGCAAAGGACTCAGGGCGGCCCCAGCAGTGGCCAGTGTAAACTTGAAGGACGGCCAGGCTGCCAGGCACTTGGAGGTGGAGCCTGGGAGCCCTGGTGACAACGGCATCAGAAGAGGCCATGGGGCTGGGTGCCCCATGCCCAGTGTCTGAGGAGGAGCTGAGTGAGGAGTGGCGGCTCAGAAAGGCCCTGGGTGGAGCCTCCTGGGGCACACCTGCTCCGTTGGTTCTGTACTGGGAACATCTCTGGCGGTTTGAGCTGCTTCCTTGTTGGTCTGCTGCTGGATGGAGGCCCCCAGCCTCCTGTGGGGGCTACCGCATGCCCTGGGTCTTGGAGCCCCCCTCTTGGGTGGGAGGCTGTCCCAATAACTGGGTGGTGACCACCTCTGAGGCCTGAGGGGTGGCTTTGGAGCCCGAGGCACTCTTCCGGGTGCCCTGGGGACTTGGGGGGCCTTTCTTCTGGGGCTGAGGACTCAGCTGGGGGCCCTTCCTGCCGGCAGATGGACTCTTGGAGCCTTTGGCCTTGGCTTGAGGGTGGGTGGCCTCTGGGCCCTTGAGGGGTTTTAGCCCCAGCATCTCACAGAAGGTGTTGCACTGGTGGGAGGAGGCAAACTGGTCCAGCAGGGCGGGGAAACAGCTCTCCTTGAGACCTTGGTACCTGTGGCAGGACACAAGAGCTGAGTGGGGTCCCACCCAGAGAGGCAGTCCTCAGGGGCAGACCGTGGGGTGGCCATGGCATGGTGTCATGCCCAAGGTACCTCTCACCTCACCTCGGGGTGCTGGGGAGTCCACCTCAACGGGAAGCACCCTAAACCTCACTTTTAATCTGAGGCCTCATTTGGCCCTGGCCCACGGAACTCATCACGTGGGATGTCGCTTGGTATGAGGAGGCTCTGCTTTATCAACATACATTAGTGCAGACTCCAGGTCCCCACTCCACTCACAGGCCCTGTTTCTCTGCCCCCTGATGAACCTCCACAAGGTTTCTCTGTGATAAAGCAGAGGAGCAGGTTCACTGCAACCCCATAATGCCAGGTGGTCCTTTGTGGGTGGCAAGAGCTGCTGGTCGTGATCTGGGGTCAGGGTCGCAGCAGGTGGGGAGCAGAGGTCCTTGAGACATTAGGATATAGCCTGGGGCACAACTGAGTCACAAGGTCCAGCACCTTAGGGATGGAGAACCAGAAGAACTTTGACATTTTATACCCCAAGCAGCCTCTCAGAGGGCATTCTGTTGCCAAGAAGCACTCACCCTCGCAGTTTGGTAGCAATCTGCACATCGGTCATTTTCCAGTTAACCCCTGAAAAGAGAAAGACAGAGAGTTTTGGGAGCTGGTAGTAGCCTGGGGCAGTTCTAGGGGCCCCAGGTCTCCAAGATGCATACCATTTTAGATGGGAACAAGCCAAGCTCTAGGCACATCTTCGGGCTCCCTCTCACTGGGCATCACCTGGCCTGTCTCAGGGGCAGTGTGGGTATATTTGTATTATGAGTAGTAATAATAATTCCATTTTCACAGGTGAGGAAATTAAGTAACTTCAGAAGTCATTCATTCATTCATTTAGTAACTGGGCACAATCTGTGTGCAATGACCACTGTGAAATGAAGTATCATTCCTAGACCCACAAGTCTTCCAGCTAAGTTATTCTGTCTCTACTGGGTGAGATTAGGTCATCCTAAACTGGGCAAGTCTCTGGCTTTGAGCTAAAACTTTCTGCTCCTCCTTAACAGATTAGCTCATCTGGACAGAGAGAGAGAGGTGGAAATGGAAAGGATAACAGGGCTGGGCTGGCAGAAGTGTAGCATGGATAAGACCAGCTTCCACATACTCATCAAGGCAGCAAGCAAGCATTGCAAGCAGCCAGACAGGCTCTAAGGTTAAGAGAGCCTTGAAGGACAGAGTTGGGCAAACAGTGATGGAAGAAACACATCTCACCCTGGCCAGGCTACCCCAGCACCTTAACACTGCGCGTCAGGCCTGTGACCACCCTTCCCTGTTTGCACTCTGTCCAGCTGCCTTCCTCCAGGAACCAAGCTCTCACTAACAGGCCTGAGTGCCAGTAGATGACAGAGCAGCACAGATGTGGGCTTGAAACCAGGCAGATCCGGACTTCCATTTTGGCTCTGTCACTTTGGAGCCGTGCGTGGTTGGCCAGTCACTTCCTATCTCTAATCCTCGACAGTAAACCCAGTGATCATGCTGCCCATCTTGTAGGGGAATTAAGATGATCACGGTATGTGTCAGACCCTAACTTAGTATCTGAAGCACAGCAGTTAGGCAATAAATATTCATTTCTTTGTCTTTTCTCTTTCAGCATTTTTCACATTCCATTTTGCATGATAATACTCATGATCCCTCACTTGCACAGAACTCTGGTTTGCAGAGGGCATTCCCAAATACAGTCTCATGGAATCTTCATAATAAGTCTGAGAGAGAGGCAGGGAGGATACTATTATTCCTAGAGAGGGAAAGGAAAAAGCTCCATGTGGAAGAGTAGAAGAGAGTTTAGGAAGTTGGAGAGGAAGAAAGTTCAGAGCAGAGCTGCAGGGAAGAAGGGTGATTTTGAAAACGTGGTCATGCAGCTTGAATTAGATCACATGAAATAGTCTTTGAAATAATATATTTTTTAAGTGGAGCCTGGAGTATACTCCTTTAAACACAACTGCAGTAAGAGACTAGGCTCCATGAGGGTCTGGTATGTACTAGGGTTGCACACAAAGTGGTTTCTGTCCAGTGCACTTTACAAGGTTACCGTGAAAGCAGAGGAGAACACACGTGGAAGTGCGCTGCACACCAGTGCCCTGCCCTCCGCATGCTCTCCTGCACATGCACACACCCACCTCACACCCTCATACCTGCCAGGTCTGTGACAAGGAAGCTGCCGTTTGTCCACAGATAGAGCCAGTGCTGGAAGGTCTGGCATTTCCACACGGCCTCAGAGCTGCTAGGCGCTGCAGGAGCCGCAGCACAGCCCCAGTCCCGGGAGCAGTAGGACTCTAGGGGCTGGCCCAGGTCCTCCTCCAGGGTGGCATAGGGGATGTTGTTGGCAGGCCGGTAGATCAGATACAGTGGGATGATCCTAAACACAGTGCCACCCCGCAGTGAGCAGGACTGACTGCCCCGAGAGTGCCTCCCTCCACCTCAACTCCACACTCTTGGAGACAAAAGGAAGGTCCTTCCAAAAAGGGAGCTCAGCTCTGAGCCTGAAGGGCAGCAAGGGCAGGAGTTCCCCACTGGCTTCAGGGTCCTGTCCATCCTCTGAGGTCAGTGGAATGAGAGCTAAACCCTACTCTGGCCCCAGGAGGCCTCTGTGCGTGAGTGAGGGGCTGGGACCCGTAAGTGACAAACAGAAAGGAATACCTCTGAGAGGATTCAGCCAGACTGTGTCCATGCCCACTAGACCCTGGATGCTTTAGCCTCCCTGTCACCTTCAGAGAGGCCCAGAAGCTGCCATGCCTAAACTCCACAATCAGCAAAAACTGGAAGAAGGGGTAGAGAATTCGGGCGGGTGAGAGGAGACTGGAGACCAGAGCAGAAGCTTCTCTAAAGTGGGCCGTGAAAAAAAAAATAAATAAAGTGGGCCGTGAATCTTGAGGTCTTTGTTTCTAGATTCTGTGGAACCATTGAGCTGAGCATGGGGCTATCTGGGAGCCCATTTGCACATGACCATTACTCAGGGGGTCCCCAGGAGGCTGTGAATCATGGCTCTGTGCAGAAGCTCAAGTCAGACTGCATGGCCCCCTCCCTGTGTACTTACTCAGGCACCTCTCCAAAGCCAGGAGCAGCCCGGGCTTCAGCCGCAAAGATTTTGCAGTACTCCCGGCTCATGTTCTGGATCTTGCACCCCTGTGGATTGAAGAGAACCAACTCTGGTCAGCACGGAATCGCTCCTGTCCTCGGTCATACCTTGCTCTAAGTGGGAGGCTGTCTGCTAGAGGCTGCAGGGAGGATCCCAGCCCTGGGGAAGGTGGGGTTCACTCCTACCCACCTCCCTCATCTGCACCTCATTTTTCTCAATTGTAAAACAAGAGGCTTCGGACATGTTTTCAAAGTGGTTTCCAAACTGTGTTTGCTGGAGCCCTAGTGATAGGTGGCTGTGTCCCAGGGGCCATGTTGCAGAAAGTGGGGTACCCCCCCAGTCACCGCTTGTCCCCTCACAAATAAGGCTTCTCTGTGCAAAATACAGTTAAGGGAAGTGAAAAAGGTTTCTGCTGAAAAATACAGTTTGAAGACTATGGTCCCAAAGATGTAGCCTGGACTACATCTCAGGCTCTCCTCAAGGTAAAGCAGAGACTGAGATGGCATCCACCTCCATATGGGGCTTTCCAACAGGACCAGGCTGGGAAGGGGAGGGACGAGAGGGTGGAAGCAGGGGCAGGGGCATGGGACAGTACCTGGATGGTGACATCATAGTTTCTGCCCAGGAGAGATGTCTCGCTGCTGGGCCCGAACACAAGCAGGCTGGACACCTTGATGATACACGTGCGGCCTGACTCGAAGATGGGTTCCAGCCCGTAGATGACCTTGGCCTGGGAGGCCTTCCTCAGGCTGCAACCGTGTCCACCCCCTCGAAGTTCCTCGCTCACCAGGCGCCCAAAGAGCTTGTCCCCCCAGCAGCCAGAGTCAGCCAGACCCTTAGCGAACACCATAGGGGTCATCTCAATCTCTTCTCCAACTGGAGGGAACAGGAAAAGTGTGAAAAAACTAGAAACTCCCCCTCAGGACATACCTGGCTGTCCAGGGGTTAAGATTACGCTTCCAGTGCAGGGGGCGTGGGTTCAATCCCTGGTCAGGGAACTAAGATTCCATATGCTGCAGGGAACAGTCAAACAAATACATAAATACACATTATAGAAACTCCCCCTGACTGATGCAGAGTTCACAGGGCAGGAAAACCGTGGAAGTGGTACACTCACTCTGTCCATTACTGCTTTTTGGGGGTGCACTGTGGGGTCCCTACTGGACTGTGAGCTCCTGATGGCAGACCCTGTAGCTATGCAACCCTCGGTCATTCAACAGTGCTTGTGTGTGAGGGCTCAGCACACACAAGTAAGGGCTCAGCCTGTGTCTGTGGAAGGCAAGGGTTTTCTGAGGAAGCAGCAATCAATACAGACTATCAGGACTAATTTGTTTTAGAATTTGGTGTTTTGATCAAGTGAATAAGTGATTCCATCTCAATCAACATGTTTGACTGGAAAAAAAATTTGAGACTAATCCAATAGCAGTGAGTACTCCTGGTGCTCAAATTGTGATCACTAAATACCATTTTCCACTAAAGTGAAAGTGAAAGTTGCTCAGTCGTGTCTGACTCTGCAACCCCATGGACTATACAGTTCATGGAATTCTCCAGGCCAGAGTACTGAAGTGGATAGCCTTTCCCTTCTCCAGGGGATCTTCTCAACCCAGGGATCAAACCCAGGTCACCCGCATTGCAGACGGATTCTGTACCAGCTGAGCTACAAGGGAAGCCCAAGAATACTGGAGTGGGTAGCCTATCCCTTCTCCAGGGAATCTTCCCAACCTAGGAATCAAATCGGGGTCTCCTGCATTGCAGGCAGATTCTTTACCAACTGAGCTATGAGGGAAGATTATTTTCCACTAAAAGGAACCAGAAATCCCTGAACAAATGGCAGGAAGTATCCTGGATTGGCCAGAAACATCTGTGGATCAGAAAGTAAGTGAAATATCAAAAACAACTGGTTGCTTGTCACAAGAACACAAGAGCCAACCTGAAGGGGCTTCCATTGGCCAAAAAAAAAAAAAAAGAGAGAGAGAAAGACAATTTTACCAACAAAAAGATTAACTGCAAAGTATTGAACATTCAAATGTGTTAAAATCCATACTTTCATAATTATAAAAAAAAATAAAAACCTTTCTCCTAGAAAAAAACAAAAAACCCTCATTGGTGACCTGTGGAAGATGTTACAGCACTAATTCATTATTCTGAAAGCTTAGCAAGAGGGAAAAGAAAGTAATTTCCATTCATTTTTTTGCTGGACCTATATGTATCAGGATTACCAAATAAACATTTCCTCTTTACTGAAAAATTTTAGCTAGTGAATAAAGAAAAAATGACAGAACTAAAGTACTCCATGTTGTAAACCTTAAGGAAATAAAGGATTGAGGTAACAATCAGGGCTCCAAAATCACTGCAGATGGTGACTGCAGCCATGAAATTAAAAAACACTTAATCCTTGGAAGGAAAGTTATGACCAACCTAGATAGCATATTAAAAAGCAGAGACATTTCTTTGCCAACAAAGGTCTGTCTAGTCAAGGCTATGGTTTTTCCAGTGGTCATGTATGGATGTGAGAGTTGGACTATAAAGAAAGCTGAGCGCCAAAGAATTGATGCTTTTGAACTGTGGTGTTGGAGAAGACTCTTCAGAGTCTCTTGGACTGCAAGGAGATCCAACCAGTCCATCCTAAAGGAGATCAGTCCCAGTGTTCATTGGAAGGACTGATGTTGAAGCTGAAAGTCTAATACTTTGGCCACCTGATGCGAAGAGCTGACTCATTGGAAAAGATCCTGATGCTGGGAAAGACTGAGGGCAGGAGGAGAAGGGGATGACAGAGGATGAGATGGTTGAATGGCATCATTGACTCAACGGACATTGGTTTGGGTGGACTCCGGGAGTTGGTGATGGACAGTAAGGCCTAGCGTGCTGCAGCTCGTAGGGTTGCAAAGAGTTGGACACGACTGAGTGACTGAACTGAACTGAATAATCAGTGACTGCTAAAACTCCTCAATAATGACAGGGGTGGTACCAGATACAGTTTTAATTAATTTTTTTTAAACTGTGCCTTGCAGTAAGTGGGAATCTTAGTTCCCCTAACAGTGATTGAACCCAGGCCTGGTGGTGAAAGAGTCGAGTCCTAACTACTCAATTGCCAGAGAATTCCTGTTTATTTTATTTTTTTACTTTAAAGGGGATAGATCAGGCAGAAAACATGTGAATAAACTCAGTGATCATTCTTAGTATTACTAAAACAGATATCATGTGCCTGAAGATTAGAGGCAAAAGGAAACACACAGCTTACCTGTGAAATGTTCCCCCAAATTTGCACCTGAATTGGAGCACCTCAAGCTAATCACCAGTTTAGAGGAAGTCCATCAATGAAGGAACATGTTAAATGGTGATACAATCGACAAAATCCAAAATGGAAGAAATTCTACACATCAAGTGACTTCAAGAAATAAATGGTAAGGACGGAAAACAAGTGAGGGAGGAGGAACTATTATACACTTGACAGATTTAAGAGATATGTCAGGGACTTCCCTGGCAGTCCAGTGGCTAAGACTCCATGCTCCCAGTGCAGGGAGCCCAGGTTCGATCCCTGGTCAGGGAACTAGATCCCACAAGCCACAACTAAGACCTGGTGCAGCCAAATAAATAAACAAATATTAAAAAGAAAAAAAAGAAGATATGTCAGCCAAAAGCACTGAGTGGTTTCTAATTCAAATAAACCAATGCTTACAAGATAGGAAAATCTGGTTTTATGAGAATAAAGTATTATTTGTTCTTAGGCATAAGGTTATATTTGACATTAACTTTGATAACTGAACAAAAGGTACTAATTGAATGAATGAGTAAAGGAGTGAGTGAAGGAAGGAATTCATGAAGCTCTAGAAATCTTTCTATCACCAGCTGCCTTCGCAGTCCTAAAACCTTAATGTGTCTTTTGCAGGAGCAACACAAACTCTTCCTCTAATATTTGTGCCTTCAAACTGTTTGTCAAACTTCAGGGTGTATGACAATCACTAGGGTGTCTACTGACATGCAATAATGTTAGGTCCTTCCCCAGAGACTGTGATTAAGAGTGTCTGCAGCAGGGCTCAGGTAACTGCATTTTTAGCAGGCTCCCCACGTGGGTCTCATGCCGGAATTCACAGACTGCTGTGAGAAACTCCAGGGAGGAAGCCGGCAGGGAGAAGTACCCTGGTAGCCAATCCTGCTCTCGATCAAGTGCTCTGACGAGGGGAGAGGGCACAGGCTGACTGAACTCCTTGTGGGATAGCCCTCTAGCCCTTCCTACCCCCTCAACTTCTGAAACAGCTGTCCTCCCTCCACCTCCTCCACAAGCCACATGCTAAACTAGGAGGAAAGGGTAGCTGTATGTGGAGATGAATGTGGCATTTGGAGCAGATTCCAAGCTTCTCTTGTAGCTCAGTTGGTAAAGAATCTGCCTGCAATACAAGAGACCCGGGTTTGATTCCTGGGTCGGGAAGATTCCCTGGAGAAAGAAATGGCAACCCACTTCAGTATTCCTGCCTCGAGAATCCCATGAACAAAGGAGCCTGGGAGGCTACAGTCCATGGGGTCCCAAGAGTCGGACATGACTTAGCGAATAAACCACCACCACCAAGTCTTTAAAGAACCCCTGCAGAGGCAGGCCTAGGGACACAGGCCCATCCATTCCTCCCCTTGAGGGGCATCGTACCTTGCCCTTCTTCTCTGGAGATGAATCCTGACAGCACTGTGTGGAGAAAAAGCAGAGGAACTCACTGTCCTCAGGTAGGCATGCCCACAGACAGCTCTACCTCTGCAAAGATGACTATCCCCGTCCTCCTTGCAGCAGAGACCAGGCGGAGAGGGCAGGGTCACACTCACCCTCAGGGCTGAGGCAGAAGTCGGTGGAGGCTGAGCCATGCTCATTGTGGATGGTGCATCGATACACGCCACAGTCCACGGGGGACGCCTGCACGATGGCCAGGGCCGCGGGCCCCTCATCCCCGGCACTGCAGAGAGAAGACCCTCCCCCTGAGGCCATCACCATGGCACAGCCCAGGCCAGACTGTGTCCTGAGAGTCCTCAGACCCCACTGTCAGAGGCTGCTGTGGGTACAGGCTCCAGGAGCTCTGGGCAGAGCCAGGCCTGTATCACACAGGCCAGGTTTGTGATCCTGACCCTCACTGGCTGTGGGACTCTGGGCAAATGACTCAATATCTCTGAGCCTCAATGTTCTCCTCTTAATGGTGGGAGTACTAGAGTATCCCTTATAGGGTTACTATGAGGATTAACTGAGAGGGTGGATCCAAAGTTGGGATGATGCCCCCACATGATCACTGCTGCCATGTCTTAGGGGGCCAGGTGGGGGTGGCACCCATCTGGCTTACCTCCTGCCCACCTCGCCCACTGGGCGCTGATCCTTGGCCCACGTCAGGACGGAGTCACTGAGAATGTTGAAGAACTGGCACCAGAGCTTCAGGCTGCCCGAGGCATCAGGAAACTGCTCCACCCGAATCTTCCGAATCACCTGTGGGGCTGGGATCAAGGGCACAGTGGGAAGGAGTGAGCCCCCTCCCTGCCGTCCTGTGCCCTCTATGCCTTGTCCCCGCTTCCCTGGGTGTCCTTGGTGCACAGGCTGAGAGAAAACAGGATTCAAGTCTCCACACACACCCATTACTTCACCCGCCCCCGCCACATCTGTGTCTCTGAGGCCTTTGCCCTGACTTCAGAGCATACAGCTTTGCTAGAAAGAACCCAGCTATGCGCCCCCACTCCAGGCCAGGCAGAGCCTCACAGCTGAGGCCAAAGACAGCAGTCAAGAGAGGACGTTCAGCCTGCAGCCTGGGCTCCTAACTCTAGGACCCTGCATTTGAGCCCTGTCTGCACCACTCTGTACCCACGGGACAAGTCTGCAAAGAGGGGATGATGGGGGTGATGACAATGATGATGAGGCTAGAGCTAGGATGCTATTGAAGCCGGGCCCCGGGCCGAGCCCTGGATTTATTCTATCCCATTTAACCTCATAATGTTATGAAGTTGGTCCTATTATCAGCTCCAAGCCACAGAGCCAGGACAAAAACTAAGCCTTTCTGATTCTACAGCCTGTGGGATTATTACATGGGAATACCTTTACAGAGGTGCACAGGTCTCCAGCAGGCAGGTGACCCAGCAGCATCCTCTCCTGGTAGCCCATACCCAGTACTCACCTTTCAGCAGGTCTTTGGCCTTCCTGGACTTGGCCGGAGTATCCTGATTGCCTTCCTCCAAGGCCAGCTCGGCATCTAGACTGCCGGCTTTGGGGCTGGGGCCTGGGTCTCCTGTTGCCAACTCCTCCTCTGCCCGAGGCACCTCCAACATGCCTGCCTTTCTGCCTTGAGTCGGGGAGCGTCTCTCCCGCCCAGAAGTCCCTGGGGACCCAGGTGCAAGGGCCTTCCTGGGCCCCCTGGGGGAGACCGAGGGGCTCTCCCTTTCTTCGGCCTTGGCAGCCTCTCCGTCTCCCGCGGCTTTTACCTTGGGGAGAAATCTCTTCCTCCGGGCCCCCAGAGCCAGCTCCTCGGGCGTCGCTGCGGGGAGCGTCTCTCCTGGGGCCTCCTCCTCTGGGGAGGGCTCCTGGGCTCTGCTCTCTGCTGACAGCAGGCCCTGCCTGGGGGCTGCCTGCCCACCACCCTCCTCCCTAAGCAGCCCACCCATGTTGCTTTCCCGGGAGGCCTCCAGGAGGACAGGCCCCTCAAGGGGAAGCTCTCCCTCACCCTCGCTGGATCCTCCTGAGGCCAGCCCAGGGCCCTCCTCCTCACCAACCACAATGGCAGGGACCGAGAGAGGGCTGGGGCCTGGGCGCCGGGCAGCAGCCAGGGCCTGCCGGCCAGCCTCCACCTCACGGTCCAGGAGGCCAGTGAGGCGGCGAGAGGTGCAGGGGCTCAGCAGGAGGGTCTGTGCACTCTGCACCAGGTGGTTGTTCTCCACGCGCTCCAGGATGCGCCGTGATGTTCGGGGACTCAGTCCGGCCACTTCTATGGTGGGGGCCAGGATGGGCAGGGGTGCCGGATCCCCAGTGGCAGCTTCCCCCTGAGACTCCAGGCCCCCTCCACTTGTTTCCGAGCTGGACAGCTTTAGCAGCAGAAGCAAGTAGTTCTTCAGGGAGTCTATGAGGCCAGGGTCACAGGTCCGGGGACCTGAAGTCCTCCTGTCCGCATCTGGCACCTTGGCACAGGCCCCCTCACTGTTTACCGCCACGGTTTCTGGAGGGTGACTCTGGCTGGATGGCCCTGGCCCCAGGTGCAGTGAGGGGGCAGAGCTCAGCAAGGTCTTGTCCTCAGAAGGCGGGAAGGCAGCTGCACTCCTGGGCTGAGAAGCTGGGGTGCCAGGCAGCCCCTCCTGGGAATGACGAGCCAGGCCAGCCTCAGGAGGAGAGGGCAGGGGGCACCCCTCGGGGCCTAAACCCCTTGGAGGACGGCCACCCAGAGCTGCAGATGGTGCTCTTCCCAGCTCTTCCTCCCTCGGACCCTGGAACAGGCCCTCCCTTGGTTTGTCCCTCCCTGGAGCGGACCACTCCGGCCCTCCAGAGCACTCTCCTCCCACCTGCTCCGAATGGCCCTCAGGAGGCAGTTGTGCCCTGGAAGCGAGGCCCCCCACCAGGGGACCCAGCACAGCTTCCTCCCGGCTCCCAGAGGCTGGTCCTGGTGTCTCGTCAGATGTGAGGATACAACCCAGTTTGTCTGGGACAGAGAACTCTTCCTGGCTCTGTCCAAAGTCTTCAATAACCTGAGGAGACCTAGGATTCTCTGAAGGTGGGCGTTTGGGGGCCCTGGAGTGTGGACTGAGACTGGTCATGGACACCTTCTCTGAATGACCTTTCGTGGTCAAGGGAGTGCTCCCCTCTGACTGTGTCCCCTTGTCTTGCTGCACCCATCCGTCTTCCTGGGTCCTCTCTTCCGCCTGCGTCCCCACCCTTCCTTGTGCCATCACATCCTCCTGGGAATTCCTGTCCGACTCTGACCTCTCCCTTCCTTGCATCACAACATCCACTTGTGTCATCCTATCTGCCTGTGTCCGTTGGGAGGCTTCTGTTTGGTCTCCCTGCATCCTCCTGTCCACTTGCATCTTCCTGTCCACCTCTGTATTCTTTTTGCCTCCTGTTTTCTGGTCAGGAGACATTTTCCTGTCCTCCTGGGTTTCTGCATTCATGGGCTCAATGATGCCCTGACTTCTAGAGGTGCTGTGGCCAGCAGAGACTGGATCAGAGCTGCTGCTGGCCGATGCAGAAGCCATGGTTGCCTGGGATTCCTGGACCTGGGAACACACGGACAAAAGCAAGAACTTAACTACAGGTGCCTTAGGCTCTCTTTCCAATCTGATGTCCCAGTCTCCTCGGGCCTTAACCACAACTGCCGGGATGGGAATCTGGCCACCTGGTTTCTCAGGCCTGTTAGGGGTGACAAAGTCCCATGCCCACCCACCAAACCTCGTGAACCCAGAATCCAGATAAAGTAATATCCAGAATCGAGGTCTAGCTCTGGGCCTTCCCACGTCTCCCTGAAGAAATCCTGCCTTTCCTGATGGACTCTGCTCATGTACTACTCCTCCCCTCACCCCCACCATTTGGAGGGGAGATTCCTCTCTCAGGGCTTCTGAGCAATCAACCTTTCCCTCTCCTGTGGCACTACTGCTCGGGATAGAATGATAGGTGAGGTGGGAGAGTATTGAAGGGTCTCCTTGACAGCATCGGGGGCAACATCACCATTAATGCTGAGTGAGCGGTAATTACATAATGCTAGTCACAGAAGGTTAAAGCCATTGTGAATGACACTTATGCCAGGAGATCCATGAAATGTTACAATGTTACCCTTCTGAACACCCACTATTTGCAAAACATTATGCTAGGCCCCCACTTATTATATAGGTATTACCTCACTCCTCACAACAATATGAAATAGTTATAAGAATTATCTCTATTTTAGAGATAAGAACACTGATGGTCAAAGAAGAAATGTGGTTTGTCCATTATCAGATAGTAAACAGTAGAGTTTAGAAGCCAGGTGTGTCTAACTTCAAATCGCAAGTTCTGTGCTTTTATACTATAATGTCACACATTTAAATATAATTAAAGGACCTCCTATCTAAACACAGTGGCCTAAACAGTAATTTGCCTCTTCCCTCTCGGATATGCTCAAAACCAGCTAAGTAAACAAGAAAAAATAAAGCAAATTCCACTGTTAGTGGAACTGGAGGCTGATAAAACCTATAGTCTCAAAAAAGTGTGGGGAGGTAAGGAATGCCAAAAGCAGACAGATGAAAGTCTGGGAGGCTGTAAGACTGTAGGACTGTGGAAGACTGGGTGGAAATCCAGCAGAAGACATATAAGGGAGATGTCTAACGGAGTCAGGGAAAGAAAAGTGGAACAGCCTACCAGAGGCAGATCTCAAAAAACATCAACAAAAAACACACTCTTGAAGAAACCTCCTGAAAATTGCTAAGAAAATTGTTTTTGAATATGCAAGGGCTTAAGGATAAGTGTTCCCAGGGCCCTGGAGGAAATTACTGGAGAACAAACTTTGGTCAACCAAGAAATGATTGGAAAACCACAGCAAGACAACTGACAGTGAACAGTGAATATGCAGTTAACCCTCTGGCTAATCAAGACTAAAGCCAAAAAAGTTTATAGAGTGGCAGATCAGAATGTCAATGCTTATGCCCTGACAATGCAGAAATGATACAACTAGCAGAGAAGGGGAAGGAGCAAGAAGATGAGTGGTGTGAGTGCCTTAATTGTATCACTTATACAAGCTAGGAATCAGAGGAATGATTCAAAGCTGAAAATCCAGGCAATAGAAATATGGGATATATAAATATATATATATATAAAGATAGCCACTTAGAAATACAACTTTGGGCTAACAGGAGAGAGAAAATGAAAGGGAAAAAAGATAGGAAGGAAGTGGAAACACCACTCATAAAAAAAGTAAAACATTAATTAAACACAAAATTATAGACATATTATATAGAATTTATACATTATTACATACAAACATTTCTTTTTTTTTATTTATTTATTTATTTTTTATCACAACCATAGTGTATCTTTTTTTTTTTTTTTTTACATGTATTCCCCATCCCGGTCCCCCTAAATATTTCTAAGTATCAGAAGAACCACACACAAAACCAAAGCTAGAGGGAACCTGCTACATATAGCACAGGGAGCTCAGTTTGGTGCTCCTGAAGACCTAGAGGGGTGGGATAGGGGGAGGTTGGGAGTGAGGCTCAAGAGGGAGGAGATATATGTATACCTATAGCTGACTCACGATGTTGTACAGCAGAAATTAACACAACAGTGTAAAGCAGTTATATTCCAATTAAAAACAAGAGCAAAGAGAATACATAATGAAAGACTTTATACATAAACTATATTCAAGTCTAGAATTTAAAGCTACTTTACTGCATATGGAATGCTGTCCCTGGTGGCTCAGACAGTAAAGAATCTGTCTGCAATGCAGAAGACCTGGGTTCGATTCTTGGGTTGGAAAGATCCCCTGGAGAAGGGAATGGCAACTCACTCCAGTATTCTTGCCTGGGAAATCCCATGGACAGGGGAGACTGGCAGGCTACAATCCATGAAGTAGCAAAGAGTTGGACACTTTCAAGTGATAGACTAACACTTTCACTTCCATATGGGATGCTAAATGAACAGTATGAATAAAAAAAAAAAATAGAGTTTGGAGAATATTCTCCAAGTCTCTTCAAGTCACTTCAGTTGTGTCCGACTCTGTGCGACCTCACAGACAGCAGCCCACCAGGCTCTGCCGTCCCTGGGATTCTCCAGGCAAGAATACTGGAGAGGGTTGCCATTTCCTTCTCCAATTGGAGAATATTAGGAGCCATCAAATACTAAGTCCAACAGAAGAATGTTAGTATCTTTTTACTTCTGACATTCTAGGGTTCAGTTCAGTTCAGTTTAGTCGCTCAGTCGTGTCCGACTCTTTGAGACCCCATGAATCGCAGCACACCAGGCCTCCCTGTCCATCACAAACTCCTAGAGTTTACTCAAACTCATGTCCATCGAGTCGGTAATGCCATCGAGCCATCTCATCCTCTGTCGTCCCCTTCTCCTCCTGCCCCCAATCCCTCCCAGCATCAGGCTCTTTTCCAATGAGTCAACTCTTCACATGAGGTGGCTAAAGGACTGGAGTTTCAGCTTCAGCATCAGTCTTTCCAATGAACACGCAGGACTGATCTCCTTTAGGATGGACTGGTTGGATCTCCTTGCAGTCCAAGGGACTCTGAAGAGTCTTCACCAACACCACAGTTCAAAAGCATCAATTTTTCAGCGCTCAGCTTTCTTCACAGTCCAACTCTCACATCTATACATGACCACCGGAAAAACCATAGCCTTACTAGACGGACCTTTGTTGGCAAAGTAATGTCTCTGCTTTTTAATATGCTATCTAGGTTGGTCATAACTTTCCTGATTAGGAAATATTAATATGGATATGAGAGCTTTAAATTTACAAAGAAAATGCTGACTTTGCACACATGGCTCATGTGAACAGAACTTTTTAATTTTTTTGGCCTTGCCTTGCAGCATGTGAGATCTTAGTTTCTGGACTAGGATCAAACCTGCACCTATTGCAGTGGAAGCAGTGTCTTAACCACTGGACCGCCAGCAAAGTCCCATGAATGGAACTGCTGATTAAAGCTCTTCACTCCCCCTCACCCCTAAACTGATCAGTCCTATAGAACCTACTGCTTCACTATCTCAATATCCATTCTCTTCTGTCTCCACAGCCAAGAGCCTAATCTAAGCTGCCAACAATTCTGTCTTGCCTAAGCCTCCTAATTGGTGTGTCTGACTCTATAGTCTTTGCCTCTGCAAATTTGCAGCCCAACTGATCTTTCCAAAATATAAATCTGATTGTGACACTCCCCTGCTTAAAAGCTTCTCAGTGACTTATCATCACTTACAGGTTAAAGCCTAAAAGCCCCAACCTAATACAGCAAGAAGTTGAAGAATACTCTCTGCCCGCCAGGGTGGGGGGAAACAGGCATCAGCACAGCCTCCACGGATAGTAATCTGGCTTTACCTACTTAAACGGAAAACACTCACACTCTTTGACCCCAAAATCCCATTCCTAGGAGTTTATAGAAATACTTCCATGTTCAAACGGACATACATACAGGGATATTTGTTGCAGTATAGTTTACAATAGCAAAAGACTAGATATGATGCTGGGAAAGATTGAGGGAAGAGAAGGAGATGAGAGAGGATGAGATGGTTGAATGGCATCACTGACTCAATGGACATGAGCTTCAGCAAGCTCCAGGAGATGGTGAAGGACAGGGAAGCCTGCCGTGCTGCAGTCCATGGGGTCGAAAAGAGTCAGACATGACTTAGTGACTGAACAACTACAAAATCAGCAAGAAATGATCTAATTTACCTCCATATGGGATTAACTCAATGAATTCTGGTACATCCACATCCCAAATAAGTAAAATAAATATCCAAATAAAAAAGCAAAGTATTGGGACAGAAAATATCATACACCACCCGTGTGTGGAAATACAGACACATATACTTGTAATTGCACAGAAAACAGATCTAGAAGGATGCCCAACATACCAGTTACAGCAACTGACTTCAGGAAGAGGAATGGGGTGGGGGCAGTAGAGAAAGGGTGGTTTTAGTTCAGTTCAGTTCACTTCAGTCACTTAATCGTGTCTGACTCTTTGCGACCCCATGAACCGCAGCACGCCAGGCCTCCCTGTCCATCACAAACCCCCATCGAGTCGGTGATGCCATCCAGCCATTTCATCCTCTGCCATCCCCTTCTTCTCCTGCCCCCAATCCCTCCCAGCATCAGGGTCTTTTCCAATGAGTCAACTCTTCGCATGAGATGGCCAAAGTATTGGAGTTTCAGCTTCAGCATCAGTCCTCCCAATGAACACCCAGGACTGATCTTGCAGTCCAAGGGACTCTCAAGAGTCTTCTCCAACACCACAGTTCAAAAGCATCAATTTTTTGGCACTCAGCTTTCCTCACAGTCCAACTCTCACATCCATACATGACCACTGGAAAAACCATAGCCTTGACTAGACAGACCTTTGTTGGCAAAGTAATGTCTCTGCTTTTTAATATGCTGTCTAGGTTGGTCATAACTTTCCTTCCAAGAAGTAAGCGTCTTTTACTTTCATGGCTGCAATCACCATCTGCAGTGATTTTGGAGCCCCAAAAAATAAAGTCTGACACTGCTTCCACTGTTTCCCCATCTATTTCCCATGAGGCGATGGGACCAGGATAA